GGCATATCCCTCATCTCACCATGATCAACCAAAGACAAATGTAAAATACTTTGATCATTATCACGAATATTCGCTTTACCGTGAATCTCATCATTTTCAGACTCTTTAATAACAGAAGTAGACAATTTTGGTTCCTCCTCAAAAATCATTAAAGGTTTTATAACTTCACTCTGACTAGATATACTTTGTAAACTTGTGGAGTCAGAACTGCACTCTGAAGCAGTAACTCTATTCTGTGACACTCTATTCAACAACGGCTTACCAGTTGCAACTACAGACTTTTTCACCGCACCGTTATCGTCACACAATTCGGAGTCAGACCTGGAGTTTACATTTAGCTTATCACTGAACTTGCTCACCGGTTCACAGTTCACTTCTGTATGCACTTCTTGCACACGTGTCAAGCACAACCGTGTTTGTCTTGCATCTCGTAACTTATCTGTTGAGGATGTACCATGAAACCTGTTACACTCACTAGGTCTATATGCATTACTAGACATCATGGAGCCTTCTCGATATCCACCTCTCTGAGGCCTACTCGTCATCAATGATTGCATTTTACCCTCAGACAGCTCTATTCTACGGGTGAGATTCAATATACTGGCAAACTTGCTCATAGATTGATTGACACTATCTTTTACTAGTTTCAGGATATCATCAAACTTTGGCTCGATACCCTCATCCTCCATACGGGAGCTTATCTTCACCCACTTCCTTTGCAGTCGAGTAGGTAAGCGTCTTGCTATTACTTCTAGTATAAAACTCGAGTTGAGATCACACATGCGATCCATCGAAATCATACCATTCTTGCAAATTAGCAAATTGTATAAAAACTCAGTGAGTGCCTGGGAGTCATCCTGTAATTGACCCCCATTACAATTAACAGCCTCGAATAATTTCCCTGCAATCATCGGAGGTCTTCCAAACCTTTGACGTATTATGCTCATAGCCTCAGCGTATCCCTCAATAAGGGGCATGAGCTTACAGCACTGTATAGCTCTTGCAGCATCTCCAATGCAATACCTCATCAAATACATTAACTTCATTTCATCAGTTAATAGAAAACCACTTAGCATGATCTCAAACTCCTTTACAAATTGAAAATAATCAGCCGGGTTTCCATCAAAACATCGTGGTTCAAATTCAGGGAGTTTGATGTTCCTATTATCCCTGAATGGCGAAACAGTAACATCAACCATGTCATGCTTAACATCAGACACATCGTTACAATTAACAGACAAGTCACCATGACTTACTTTCCTGTTTGCATCCAAGAAACTCTGTCCCTTCTTTGACCCAGGCATTGTTGAACTTGACCCAATTCCAAAAAAGTTCCAGATATTGCTTGTTCAAAGAGGACCTGACCGGCACCAGGAAAAATGAACGGCGACTATCCAAACTTTCACCAACTGTTTCAATCCGCCAGATCTGTTTCTATCGTCAGAAACTGTCAGCCAAGTCTCATAAACCGTTAATGCCCAGCTCTCGCTACGCTCGGGCCCACGCTGTTCTTAGAAGATTTCTCAGAAACGCTTAGTTATAACGGACGCAAAAACCAAAACACCGATCTGCCGTTTGACATTTCTGTATTGTTACACCAACATATAAAAGGAATAAACGAACTAAGCAACTAAGGTCTGTAAACAAATATTACAATAATAAATCGTTATGTTACTTCTGACGATATTTTACTCTTCTTTCTGAACAGCGACCGATGAGACGATGACTGTCGTATTGATGCCTCCGCGAAAATCGAGGAAGTTGATTTTGAGCAAACAACCAAGAATTGATCGTTCAATCTTCAACTCCATTGACAAAAGGATTAACACAGGCATATAGCCTACTATCCTAAATAAATTGTAAACTGTAAACTGTAAAAATAGAGAATAAAAAAGTTACATGGGATATCTTTCTCGAACATTTGAGAGGAACATCTGCCAGTTTAGCATGGGACTGTCAATAGAGAAGTTACACCATATTCTGTACATATATGTATTTATCCAAATGACTATAAATGAGATTCATTTATAGCCCTTATCCTATTTTTCAACCTGCCCCAAAATCCTTCAATAGAATTTGTATGTGTCCTCGTAACGGGATCCACAAAATCACTTAAATCGTTGGCTCTATGATGAATATATCCCAGAGATGACAGCGAACTGTAGCCGTTCCACTTGTTCGTGTGTATAATTGACCCCCGCTTAACAAGTCTGGTAATAATAGGTATAAGAGTAGTTGCTTTTCTATCTGCTATCCTTTCGACGAATCCCTTCCGGAAGGAGGTGTCATACAAACCTATTACCGTGCTGCTCTCACACCCTGTTTCAACACCCATTAGATGCAGATATACAAAATCTAAGATAGGGAGAGAAGCGACCTAGCGAAAAAAGTTCCTACGAAATATTAAAATTATCAGCTTACCCTCTCTAGTGTTAGTAAGCTTCAAACATATAGCACAACGATGAACAAACCCATCAGTTGATTTGGTATAGCTTTTTAAAGTCATGATACCAGCAAAAAGTCAAATTCGCTCTTTCTGGAGCAACTCAAATCCAGGAAATACTGGAAAACACTAACCGCCTCGAATTGCAACAACAGCCTTGTAAGGTCACGCATTAGAAATGAATCAAGCGCTATACAACATTGAACTGCGTTCGTGAACCTCATTGGATGATTCGGCATCCTTCGTGAATCTCATTGGATAATTCGCTGATTGGTAGTTAGTGGTGTCGAAAGTTTAACTTCGCCCAAATTCCCTTACAAACTGTAAATAATCAGCCGGGTCTCCATCGAAACACCGTGGTTCAAATTTTTAGGGATTTTGGTGTTCCTATTATCTCTGAACGGCGAAACAGTAACATCAACCATGTCATGCTTAACATCAGACACATCGTTACAAGTAACAGACAAGTCACCATGACTTACTTTCCTGTTTGCATCCAAGACGCTCTGTCCCTTCTTTGATCCAGGCATTGTTGAACTTGACCCAATTCCAAAAACTTTCCAGATATTGCTTGTTCAAAAAGACATGGCCGGCACCAGGAAAAATGAACGGCGACTATCGAAACTGTCACCAACTGTCCGAATCCGTCAGAAACTGACACCGTACTGTCAGAAACTGTCAGTCACGTCTCGTAAACCGTTAATGCCCAGCTCCTGTTACACTGGGACTCACGCTGTTCCTCGAAGCTTCTCAGAAACGCTTAGTACGAACGGACACAAAGACCAGAACCCAGTTTGGCGACTCGAGAATTATTTATTCTAACACCAACATATATCCAATGTACAACTAAGGTCTATGAAAAAATATTACAATAATAAATCACAAGATTACTTCTGACGGTTTGCTGCTGACTTCTTTCTGAACAGCGACCGATGAGACGATGACTGGCTGATTGATGCCTCCGCGAAAATTGGGGAAGTTGGTTTTGAGCAAACAACCATGAATTGATCGTTCAATCTTCAACTTCATTGACACCCTTTATTTCCTTGGCGGATGTAATTTATATTCCACTTACGGAGATTTTCCAAATGTCTCTGAGGCAGGCCATGCTATCCAGGGACTGGAAGGATGCCATTATATGCCCTATCTTCAAAAACGGTGATAGGCAATCGGTATCTAACCACAGGCCGGTAAGTCTGACATTCATTATCGCAAGAGTACTGGAAACTATTATAGGGGGTCAGCTATTAGCTTATGTTGAAACACATGGCTTGTTGGCTGTGGAACAGCATGGATTCCGACCAGGACGATCTGCCTGACAAACCTACTATTGATTAGGGAAGACTGGGTTGAGGCGGTCTCTATTGATCTTAGCAGGACATTCGACTAAGTATCCTACTTAGTTCTCCTTAGTAAACTTAGAGCTTTCAGACTAGACCAATGCCGATGTGAGTGATTTAGAGATTACCTAATGGATAGAAGGCAGAAGGTTAGAGTTAACAGTGCACTATCAGGATAGAAAGCAGTATCCAGTGGAGGGCCCATGGAACTGTATTAGGCCCCTTGCTGTTCCTATCATACGTTAACGAATTACAAGGGATTCTTACTTCATCATTATTTGCATATGACATTAAGATATGGAAAACTGTAAATAATTACGAGGATAGGTCGGCCCTACAAACTGATTTAGATAAATTAGCTGAGTGGTCAAGCCTATGGAGTTTGGAAATGAATGCTAGGAAAAGCGCGGTAATGCACTTAGGTCAGAAGTCTTATGCGTCGTACTCCCTAGGGGACGCAGAACTACCTGATGTTAACGAACAAAAGGACCCAAGAATCATTGTCAGCAATGATTTGAAAACAACTGCAAATTGCAATGCAGCCGCAGCTAAAGCTTTTCGAATGCTATGGGTAATTCGAAGGGCTTTCAAACGATTAGACGAGGGCATGTTCCAAATACTCTACGCAACATATGTCAGGCCTCATCTAGAATACTGCATACAAGCGACGAGTCCATGCTTCAAAAAGGAGGCACATATTCTGGAAAGAGTACAGAGAGTAGGAACAAAATTAGTTGGTGGTATCTCACACCTTCCTTATGATAAGAGGATGGAGCATTTAAATCTCTTCCCGTTATCATACCGAAGGAAGAGAGGCGACTTAGTTTTAGCATACCGTATACTTTAGGGTGATTTAGGAACTGACCTTTCTAACCTTTTCTTCCCTTATAGGATACATTTACAGGGTCACCGCAAAAAGGTGCTCAAACCAAGGACGATTAAAATACGTGCAGAATTTAGATTCTCTCACAGAGTGGTCAACGATTGGAACTCCTTACCTGATTCAGTAGTATCAGCTCCATCGGTGAACGCTTTCAAAGAGAAGTTAGATCTCTGCAGAGATATACTTTGCAAGGATTAACACAGGCCACAAGAGCCTTCTATCCTTATCATCTAAATGTGAATCTAGTCACGTTACTTCAACGACCAAGTTTGTTTGTTTCCGTGTTGCTATAACAACTAAAAGTGATATTTCAAATCAACCGAAATTTTCCAAAATGAGTCTTGAAGTAATAAATCCGATGGACAAGTTGACGATCTCAGATCAAATCGCACAAGAAAAAATGAGCTTGTAATGACTAAATTTATGTTGTCAGTTTTAGGAATCTACTGAGGCAAACTAACTGTAAATTAGAAGAATCTATTGATATTTTGGAAGACCAGTTAGCTAACATAGAAGATGAAGGTAGTTCAGAGACTAACACCTAACACTTTTTAAAACAGATAATGAGTGGAAAACAAGATACTTGATTCAAAAAGAAATAAACGATTACTATAAAAGAGCATTCTTCTATTGTGATCAACAAATTCCAAAAGCTAAGGCTATGCAGAGAATCGGTAATTTATTCTGACTGAAATTTTCACTTTCTTATATCCAAGTAAATCGTGCTATCAGAAGAGGCTCAAAAGTCTCCAGTTATTTGGACCTTGATGATGAATCAATTCAAGAACTTGAGGAGTACCGAGAATATATTCTTCGACTATGTCGGGAATTAGAGGCTAGAATAGAACAGGAAGGAAAGGTAAGTGAAAAAGTTTATTGTCATTGTTTATTGGTTCAAAAAATATCTCCCCAACTTTTCTTACGATATCTGATAGTTGAAACAAAGACTGAGAACGGTTGAAAAATATTCCATTGCACTTTTTCAGGAATCAAGTGACTTAATAAACCAGATGTGTTAGAGTGATTTGTTCAGAAATTCACATAACTAGGAAACGTCGTAAGCAAGACAGAACAAAATATACGTCAGCTTCTTCAAACAACAATCTCTGAATTATTTAGAGACACACTATACATGGATATTGAAGCATGTGTCAATTACCGGTGGTTTGACACACTTGTTCCAAAAAAAAATTGACCATCAGATGAATTAAAAGCCTAGTATATACTTTCTTACACCCGCGAAAGCAAACAATCTAGTAGAATACGATCACGATGGACAAAGACTAACTGATGAATCCGAGTAGAATTTTGCATAAAAGTTTGTTAGCTAAAAGAATCCCCACACAATACAAAAAACAACTAAGAAATTCACAATCTGATTGCGTTTCCGCTATGAACAGTTTGGGTCAGGTTACAAAGGTCCTCTAACCATTGACTTTTAGCATCTCGATTACTCAACCCAATAATCTACAACTTATCCAGACTACTAATAAAAATCTAAATGCATTGTGGAAAAGTTTTGGTCTGGTCACTTCCTTTTTCAGGTAAAACTGTCAATGAGAAGAGAATTTCGGCTTGCGTGTGTAACCTGAGTAGCTACCTTAAATATAACGATGTACATGTATTGTTTTATTGAGAGTCAGTTCCCCTACGAATCATTAATTCACCACATTTTGAATCTGTATAAAAAAATTACTGTATTTCATTCAGCAATTGACAGAATGTGATGAAACTAAAATATGAACGTTTTAAATACCAAATCTTAGGCGCTTTGTTTTTCAGTGAGTAAAACTGTAAAAAATTGGATTTTATCTCCAAATAGTGAAGACTGAGACCTACTAAAAGCCTAGAAATTATAAAAACCAACTGGAGTTTTGTTAATAAATCTCTTAAACCGAGTATTAAAAAAGTATACTTTAATTAGGATGAACCCCATCAAAACTGCCAGTGTATCTTTAAGACAATGCAAAGTATCTCTTAAATTGATGAAATTGGCATACAGTAGCAACAACACTCAATTTCAAACCTTAAGTCACTTAAGCTTTTTAATATTTTTTATGACTGCTACGTAGAAGATTGTGGTGTTTTATTTAAAAATAATTAGTTCGTGATGTTACTACATAAATAACTTTAGGAATTTAAGCATCTATGTGAATTCAAAGTACTCTGATTGCAAAAGGATACAAGTTGGAGATTGTGGTAGAGTATAATTCCACTGTCGATAAAATTTTATTGTGATAAATTTTCAGTGTTATACAGTAATATTTACTGATGACATGCAATTTATTGCTCATAATCACATCAGGGTGATATTATTGGTTTCAGTAGCAGTGGTTTACTTTTACGAGGTGAGGTCACTAGCCCCAAGCCAAAACTTCCATCTTTACTGCATTTACTACATGCCTAGCGATCTTTAGGAGTGCTTCGGTCGGGATTTGATCCCCGGAGCACGTATGTGGTTGTCTGGTGTCCTAACTCTGAATCACCAACGCAAATTTTTCGTATGACGCATGCTTATTTTAGAAATTTGTAATTTAAAAACGGTATGAGTTGCAGTGTAAAATATCTGAAGTAAAACCGATTAAATCGATTAAAAGTAATACTGTATAAGATCAAGTAAGAACTGCTTAGCTGAAAATAAATTTATTATTATTATTATTGTATCCTTTAGTTCCTAGAGGAACATAGGGCTTCAGCTGCGCACCTCCATTGACTTCGGTTTTCTGACAACTTTTTCAACCTGCTCCAGGTCTGTCCACATGCTTTCATCTCCTCCTCGCATGACCTCCTCCAAGTCACCCTTGCACTGACGACCAACTCGCCGCCTCCCTTTCGGGTTCCACTCAAGCGATGGCTTGTCTAGTGATGTCACTTGTTGGTTTCCTCAGCGTATGGCCAATCCATCTCCATTTCTTTCTGCCTATTTGTTTCACAATCGGTTCCTGATTGGTTCGCTCCCAGAGATCCCTGTTGCTGATCTTTTCTGGCCATCTGATCTTGAGTATTGAACGGAGACAGTTGTTAATGAAGGTTTGAAGTTTGTTTGAGATGCTCTTTATGACTCGCCAAGTCTCTGATCCGTATAGTAGCACTGACTTCACATTGGAGTTGAAAATCCGGATCTTATTTTTGATGCTGAGTGCTGTTGACCTCCACACAGATTTGAGAGTAATGAAAGCTTGTCTTGCTTTTCCGATTCTGGCTTTGATGTCCTCGTCGGTTCCGCCTGTAGTTGAGACGATGCTATATATCACATAATCACCACTCTTTTGGAACTAAAATCTTCATCTGAGTAAATGATAAACAATGAGAAATTAATAAAATGCTTATCTGACTTTTCCCAAAGTAAAAATGTTGTGAGTAAATCAAAATGTGAGAGCTTTGACCTTTGTTATGAGCCACTTAAGGAGATGCAGACCGTATGATCTCGTAGATGTTCGAAAACACTGATTAAAGATATGATAGCTCAAATTTGATAACCCGTAGTTATCAAATTATTTTTTGACCATGCAGCTTTATTCACTGCAGTCTCATTACACTCCTTTTTACATGTTCTTCTTCTCATTTGTGCATATTTCTACGCTAATAAGTTGGACGAATGTTTTTTAACAAAATATTATCACTAACTGATTATTAGCCTCCTACGATACCATACTGTTCGGTTAACAAAAACAAATTTATAGTGAATTATTATTTTTGAAAAAAATGATCTTTATTTAAAGCAACTAATGGAGTATTGACCGTAAACCAATTAAAGTCCACCTGAAGTTTTCCCCAATGAATTGTAACCGTAGGATAAAGTTACTGTTATTTCTACAAAATAATAATAAGAGGATATTTGTATGAAACATGCAATATATTTGCCCAACACACTTTAGACATTCTGATTGCATACGCAAATGCCATAAAAAAATTTATATGAAAAGCAACAGAGAATAAAGGATCAAAATTTTGTGAATGTAGGTCAAAATATTTGTGGGTCAGGATCGCAGACAGGTAACAAGAAAATCAGGTAAGAAAAGTGAGGTGATGAAAAAGAGGGTGAAGATATTAGTAAAAAAAAATGAAGCTTGATTCTAAGCTCGCACTACCAAGACAGATTCAAAGGAATTAGAAATAATTTTTGAAGACAAAGAAGATTTAAGGCTTTTTACAGCTATTGGTTCAACAAAACTAGGCATGTCATAAAAGTTTTATATGTGAGTTCAGAGGTGCTATGACTTGTCTCTGTGATCTGCTCTGAGACAGATGACGTCGGGCATCTATTTCATGGGTTAACTGAATCAAGATGTTTTATTTGTTCTAGCAGCCACTTAGGAGTGTGTTCTGTTGTCATGACGTGTGCAGATCGACGCGTTCTCCCTATGCTCGTGTGACAACACACCTATAAACAAATTGGTAAACACTGAGGGGTATAATACTATCGTTTGGATGATATTAGGCTTTAGACGACAACATAAACCTCCTTCTATTCACCAGGCTAAGCATTTCTGTGGGATCTTCCCCCGTTTTTTTCTACCAAGTTTCCCTATCTCTAATCTGTAGTCTTCACTACTAAACATTCTGATGTATACTTACTCAATTTTGATCAGCTACACTATGTTAAACTTCATGTCAGTATTTATGTCAAATACGTGTGTGATCCAAATTTCTCAAATATGTTAGGTAAAAATATTATTAAGTTCATAAGGTATAAAGACAATACGTGTTTTGCTAATACTTCATTATTTGCCAGGAGTTTAAAACAAGCAACAAAAGTTAATGAAGCAGGATTTAATGAGTCCATCAAATTTGATATATATATATATATATATACGAAGAATTTCGGACTAAGTAATACTGCTTATAATAGTGACAATAATAATAATGTTGAAACAAGTTAAGGCAATGGTAATTATAAAGCAGTTTTAAGTGAATGAGAAATAGTAATAAAAAGAGGTGAAATAAAACACAGAATAAAATATTAATAATGATAACAGTTAATGAGTGGAACTTATTTCCATAATAGATTCAGAGCAACCACTACTTCCTTTCGTACACAGAGACCTGGTTGAAAAAACTCTAATTGCACTTTCGTGTTTGTTTGTCTGCTGGCAAGAGTGAATGACTTGACAGAACTGGTATCATGTCTGTTATTGAACTTTTAGACACTTCCACTTCAGCTGTTTCTAACCACCTTGTCAAATGCTCCACCATGTGAGTAGACAATCGCCTTTCTGTACGGTCTATTTATTTGCTTCCACAAATTCACTCAAACTGATATACACAGTTTGAACTGTTAAGGAATGGCAACTAGTCTTTCCCAGATTGTTGAAGCACCAGCTTGGTGGTGCTGAGAAAGACAAGTTTTACAGCAATAATAATTTCTCTAAATAGCTTTATGGAGTCTACATCTGACTACTTCTAGTACGTTATCTCCTCTAAAGGGTTGATTTATGTATGCAAATATATCTGGAATTGTTTGAATAGTTTTACTGGGGTTCGTTTCTTTAGAGTATTGATTAATTCACTTCTCAGGATATCCATTCTTAGATAAAATAGACTGCAGAGTCTTTATTTCATGTTCAATTGTACTGTGAGAACAAATTTTTCGTGCTCTGTTGAATAGTGTTATGAAGAAGTCCTTTTTATATTGGGTTGGAATGTACATACTCTCACGTCAATAAAGACTTCCTAAATACAGATCTTTCCAGTGTGCCATCAGTCCTTTTCATCAGAGAAACATCTAGGAATTTAATGGTATCATTTTCTTCGTGTTCTATCGTGAAGTTAGGATTCAGATGGCAGGAGTTGAATTTTGTCAACAAGTCTCCGGCTTTTGAATCTACGTTCAGAGACAATAAAAAAAATATCATCAACATATCCATTTGTAATTCATGCTGTTCCAAAATACCGGCTTCTAGGCTTGACAAGACAACATCCGCAAAAAGTGGTCCCAAGGGGCTTCCTGTTGGGACACCATCAACTAGATGGAACAGATTCCCATCGAATTGGGCATTCTTAGTTCACAAAACTAACAATTTCCTCAAATCCAATGTTGCAATGGATATGTCTTTAGCTTTTCTATATATAAAGTCAATAATCTCAATGACTAGAACATTTGTGAAAAAAGAAGTAATACCGAAAGAGACCAGACGCTCACCAGTTACATTATTATTATATCCTTTAGTTCCTAGAGGGACATAGGGCTTCAGCTGCGCACCTCCATTGCCTTCTGTTTTCTACCAACTTACCAGTTACATTAAGACCATTATTTTTTGTTTGACAAATTTGAATGAATCAAAAACAATATACTTTCGGAAGCGTTTTCACAAAGGTTGCAATAATTCACATAGCCATTGTGCTGATCTGTGGTATGATGAATTTATCACCGAAAGTATAGGTATTAAGGGGGCTCCTAGTTTGTGTATTTTAATTCACCATATCGGTTTAATATTCCTATATGTACTTTCATCAATGTAAAAGTTCCCGTGAATGTTGCACGATTTTTTTTTTTCATTTAGAGTTTATAAACACCAGGTCTGTGTACAAAAGGAAGTGGTGGGCACTCTGAATCTACCACTTATCATTACTGGTTCTGATTTATTTGAAACTATCTTTTATCATTATCGCTGTCTTAACTCGTTTCAACACTATTGATTATTATTATTATTATTATAACTGTTCCTATTACTGGCATTGCTATTATTAGCAATATTATTTTGTTCGAAAATCTTGGTATCTTATCAGTCTTATATGTCCCAAAGTGATATATATATATATATATATATATATATATATATATCCCTGTATGTAGAGCATTCAACTGAAGAGCTCTACCAAAATGTGATGGATTCATTGAATCCAGTTTTACTACCACTTTTTAAAAATTCGTATCGGGAAATAAAATGTTTGAAATTTCCTTGAGTTGTCAGATAAAAATGCAGTATTTCAAAATCCCAAATTTACTTCTACACAATTATTACCATTGAATAGCTAAATTTCAATGAAAGCAGACATTTTGTTTACCCTAACAATGACTCTGATGAACAACACATCAGCACTTCACTTCCCTGTAGTAAAATGTAAAACCCAACTGTGTGGATCAACACTAGAAACTGTATAGATAAAAGCACAGACTGTATTCGAACACCTGGAGACATATAGAAATTTTGATGAACTAGGAAAGCCATTTGGAAAAGCGAACATACCACTTCAAAAACCTTGTAAGTGATCTATCCCCTGACATTATGCAAATTAAGATAGTACTTATTCAATGGCATGAATGTTTTTTTAAAACCACATTCAACTAGTTCAAACTCTTGTGTAAAACACCTCTTAAGTTCATTATAACATGAATTAAAAAAATACATTTGCCGGAGGTTAATTAATTAATTTATTTACTAATCTTTGTTCACAAAGTTAAAAACAATTAGTCCCTTTTATAAATTTTGATAGTGTTATAGAAGACGGAGATTATCTGAAAAAATGTGATGTATTTACACTATACATTTCGAACAATCTGATCACACATTTACTTGTCAAGTCGATATATATGGAAAAGCTGAATTAAACAAAGTGACAAAAAAGAATTAAGAATAATTAACACAAACGTTTGGTAATCCAATCAAATAAGGATTACCAAGGTAGGTAAAGAGTAATAACAAACTGCTTTTGAACACACAAGGGGGCCTAAGTTTATGAATAGCTATAGTCTCAGCGTATTTCAGTAAGCGCCCTTGACCGTTACTGCAGATGACCTTAAAGACTGAGTTAACATCAATCTTATGGTTCATCTCGATTAGGTGTTTAGCTATAGACGAAGTTGGTAGTCTGACACACCTGCATCTATTGGCTTTTCACAATTCATTTGTTTTTCTAACCATTTTGGGATATGCTCTCCCACCCTCACATGCAAAGCGCGACTACTCCTCCTCATGTATGTGTGTTCACACACACGAAAATTGGTAAATAGCGTGGGATGTGACATAATCACTTGTGCACTTTTGAGGTTTGCAGTGAAGCATATATTTAGCTTTTTCCACAATTACAAGCTGGGCTGCATAGTAGGTTCTACAGATGATCGAATTCAACCTTTGTCTCAAAATCCTACTGTTTATTTCCCTGTTATATATGGTAATTTGATGAAAACCTTTTTTTAGGGGCGGTATGGACTGTAGGTTTAGAGATTATTTGACCTCTACATCTGTTTAAAAATTGTATTGGATATCCGTTTTCAACAAGAGTAACCATCAATATTTCGTTTTCTTTGTCTATAACATCTTTTTTTCGGCTAATACATTTTAGGCTTACTATTGGGCAACAGAAATTAGAAAACGTGCATTAATCGAATTAAACTACACATATATACCAGCACCAGTAAGTAAACATCCTGTGGAGAAAAAGAAAGAAGATGAGGATGGCGAAAAACCAATAAGGAGAGCCCAGTAAGTTTACATCGTACTGACGTTCATTTTATATGGAAATGCATAACATTTGATAACTGGACAAAGTTGTTAGACGCTTGAAATATTCAAATGAAAAGAAATATTTATCCTACTCAAACTATATTAAACATTAAATCACATTAAATTTTTATTGCTCACGGTAGAATATTTTTACTATAAGAAGCAGTGTTAGTCGAGATAGGATTAGACAGGAAAATATGACGAATACATTGAGTAATTGATCGTTGTTAAAAGTGTAGAACTTGGGAAATACACATGCCTATGTTCGTGTGCTATTAATGCCTGAATTACAATCTTTCGTTTACTGAAAGACGATACCAGAATAAGGTGACATTTCTTACACAGTTCAACAGATATTCCTTAACTCTGACTATGCATTGACAGTTTGGAATATCATTTGGTACTAGTGTTGAATTTACTTATTATTGCACGTAGTTTTTGATATGATAAACGAAGGTTCAGTAACAAACATCTCCTACCCTTTAACATTGGACTTTATTGTTGTTGTTGTTGTTTTACCTCGCCTAATATTGTAATGACTGGTCAGTCCATGAACTGAACAGTCTACCCTTTTGTAAGAGTAAGCGTCATATATGTAGCTTAATTTGGTATACTTCTGTCGACTTTCTCAGACCTTAATTCCTAACTTTGATCTCGGAATCATTGCAAAGCACTTAATATACGAAACTGCATTGCCTGATCAGTCCTAAGGCTTCTTCTTAAACCTACAAAGTTTTTGAGTAAGCTGTAAGTGACTTCCACACTTAACTGATGTGCAAATACATGAATAATACTATCTTGTTACATCAAGCACTTAACAATATTAGGAACCTTCTTAAAATGAGGATGTTAAGCCTTTAACACACTGGCAATTGAAGCAGAACAGGCCGCAGGCAAAAGAGACATCAGGACACTAAATCAGACAACCAAGTCTCTATCCGGGAAGAGATCAACCCAGATGATGAAATCAATAAAAGATGCTCAAAGGAACCTGATCACCAAGGAGGAGAAACAAATCAAATAATGGGGTGATCACTTTAAAAGGCTCTTGAATCGACCACCACCGGTAACTCAAACAGAAATACCACCGACAGCACACACAGAAATGCCAGCGGACGCACTCCTCCAACGAAAGAAGAAATCCTGAATACAATCAACCTAATAAAGTCCGGGAAGGCAGCGGGAGCAGACGGAATTCCTACCGAAACACTGAATACCGCACTAGAGATTATGGCAGATGTTCTCACTCCATTACTGCAAAATGTTTGGAAAGAAGGAAAGGTGCTTACTAATTGGAAGAAAGGCTACCTCGTCAAGTTGCCAAAGAAGGGCGACTTACGCCTCACTCTGCAAGAACTGACTGGTGTGTAATCATGCTTTCCTCCACACCAAGTAAAATACTAAATCGACCGAAAGCTGTTACCTTCACGTGGTGGTCGGGCTTGAACACCGCAATGATCTATTCAAGCTATACTGGCTGAGACTTATGTCTCTTGAGGTACTACCATGCCAGGCAGGTTGTTTGGATAGCGGTTAAACAAAAAGCAGCTACCCAATCCAACATCATGTCCAATACAAAATTACAAAATTTCATGCCGGATCGGCCGTGGCCCGGATTAACAACGACCGCGCTTCCTGCTGCCGTGTCACAGGGCAGGAGTGATAAATCTGCTACTGAGACACACCAAACAAAAAAGAACGAACAAAAACAGGCCGCGTGTGACCGGCCTCAAGCAGTTGTCCCCTGGGCTCTGCGGTCACGCAACCAACTTCCACGGTGTGGGCAGCCGGGAAGTAACAATCGCCCTCACAATCCGAAATGCACACGAAACCTCTCTATTACTCACTCATCTTTGTCTTCATCTTCATCTCTATCATCTTGCCTTCCTTCCACTGATGCAACTCCTCGACTTGATAGCTCTCCACTTCCTCTCCACTCTGCGTCCACTAAAAACGATGGAAGCCAAAAAACCACCACCGACAGCCTCTTAAAGCCGCGCCACCAATTTCATATAGGAGCTCTTAATGTTAGGACACTTTGCCAAATAGGACAACAAGCATCACTAGCCAAGACCCTGGCATCACGAGCCATTGATGTATGCTGTGTTTCAGAAACACGCATACAAGACCCAAGTGTGGTTATTCACCTAACCCCACCTGGCCAACAGGTTGAATCTGCAAAATTCACCTTGAGGGTGTCAGGAGATGCCACAGCTAGTTCACGAGGATTAGCTGGCGTAGGGATAGCTTTGAGTACTAGGGCAGAAAAGACATTGCTTGACTGGATCCCGGTAGATAGCCGAATGTGTGCTGTCCGCCTGAACGGATCAGTAAGAAGGAGGAAGGACTGCACTACTCGCCGATGCCTTTTCGTAATCTCCGCCTACGCCCCCACTGACTGCAGTTCAGATGAAACGAAGGATGAGTTCTACCAAAAGCTGTCTAGTTTGGTGGAAAGGCTAAACGCTCAGACATAGTCGTTCTAGCTGGTGACTTTAACGCTCAAGTAGGGAAATTGTGTCAATCTGAGAAGGATGTCGGTGGCACCTATGGAGCTCCGTGCCAGCGAACCGACAACGGTGACCGTCTCCTACAGTTCTGCTCTGATAATCATTTGTTTCTTGTAAGCACTAACTTTAAACACAAGGAGAGACACTGTTTGACTTGGAGACCCCCTTCATCAAACCAACGCTGGACACAAATAGACCACATAGCAATAAGCTATCGTTGGCGTGGGTCGGTAGGAGATTGTCGCTCCTTCTGGAACACGTGCGTAGATACCGACCATGCACTGGTCCGCGCTCGGGTGTGCTTACGACTGAACGGACGTAGGAAACAGCTGGCGGTAAAACCATCACGTCCCCAGCTCGATCAGGAAACTAAATCCGTATTTGAGGAAGAACTAGCTAAACACATATCTGTGTTCGACAGCTGTGCTCACCCTGAAGAAGCTTGGAAAAATATCCAGGCAGCCATAGATACAGCTGTAAAAGCTGTGAATAAGGTAAACCCAAAGGTGAGTAAAAACCACTGGATCTCCACCGCCTCATCCGAACTGATAGATGCTAGAAGACTTATTCCGGCGAGCTCCGAATTCAATGAGGAGCGAAAGCTGCACAAGAGGAAACTTACGAAAAGTCTCCGCAAGGACCATGAACAGTGGTGGATGACAAAGGCGAAAGAGGTGGAAAAAGCATCGGTGATAGGCAACACTAGGCAACTCTAAAGACTCATCAGGGAAACGAGTGGGAGAAGTCAAGTCATAAGTGAAACAGTCTCGGAAAAAAATGGCACTATAATTAGCTCCCAGGATAGACGACTGGATCGCTGGAAAGGGCATTATGAGGAGCAGTTTAATTGGCCCACAGCCACGCTCAACCTGCCGAACATCCATCATCTCCCTGAATGGGATATAGACACAGGTCCTCCATCCCTAACTGAGGTTACTAAAGCTGTCACCAATCTGAAACTAGGCAAAGCAGCGGGACCTGATGGAATGACTCCAGAGGTATTTAAGTACGGTGGAGACAGTTTACTGTCTGCATTAAGTGAGGTACTAGGCAGCGTCTGGGAATCAGAGGAAGTCCCATCGGGTTGGTGTAAGTCACTGATTATTCCGATATACAAGAAGGGAGACAAGTCTTCCTGTGATAATCACAGAGGGATTAGCTTGACTAATATAGTATCTAAAGTCCTAGGCTCAATAATCATGCGTAGACTGAGTGGTGCTCGGGAGGCACAAACACGAGAGAGCCAGGCAGGCTTTAGACCAGGAAGAGGGTGTATTGATCATATCTTCACCCTCCGACAGATTCTAGAACATAGGAATTCCTATCGGCGTCCAACAGTCATTATATTTCTTGACCTAAAGATGGCATTTGATTCTGTCGACCGATAGATTCTTTGGCGATTCTTGGCTGTAAAGGAAGTGCTGAGAAAATACATTGCACTGATTAAGGCACTCTACTCGTACTCATTCAGCCAAGTGAGGGCTTACGGCGAGTTGTCATCTGAACTGGTGACGACTAGTGGCGTCCGTCAAGGATGCCCATTATCCCCTTTTCTGTTCAAATTCATCATAGATGTACTAATGGAGTTAACCCTCAGTGACTTCAGCGACTCGGGGATTGACTTGCTACCACCAGGGAATAATCTCGTTGACTTGGAATATGCAGACGATATAGTCCTTCTAGGCGAGGACGCTGACGAAATGCAGAGTCTTCTAAACACCTTGAGCTGCAATCTACGAATGTTTGGCATGCGATTCGCTCCCGCCAAATGTAAGATGATGTTACAGGACTGAACTACAGCGACTCCTATTTTAGAAATAAGTTGTGAAGTGGTAGAGCACGTTGACCGCTTCACTTATTTGGGAAGTACCATCAGCCCCAACGGGTTGATCTCTGACGAAATCTCAGCACGGATACAGGGGGCTCGTTTCACATTTGCCAGTTTACGCCGTCTCTGGCGTAGACAAGATATCTGACTATCGACCAAAGGGCGGGTGTACTGCTCATCAGTCCGCTCCGTCCTCCTTTATGGCTGTGAGACCTGGCCACTGAGAGTGGAAGACATGAAAAGACTAGCTGTCTTTGATCATAGGTGCCTGCGTTCTATTTCCCGTGTAAAGTGGCATAATAAGGTGAGCAACATGGAGGTTAGGCGTAGAGTTCTAGGTAAACAGGGGAAATCAATCGACGAAGTCGTGAAGCTACAAAGACTGAGATGGTTAGGACATGTGTTACGTATGCCAAGCCATCGCCTCCCTCGACGAGCAATGTTAGCGGATATAGGGTCAGGCTGGAAAAAAGCTAGCGGCGGTCAAACAAAAACTTGGCATCAGTCAATGAAATCCACAACAGTTGGTCTAAGCCACGTAGGAAGGTGTAGACTTTCCTGATGGGGTCCTCGGGACGGTAAAAATCTATGGTTGGAAACAATTGGTGACATGGCTCAAAACCGTTCTCAGTGGCGCAGATGCATCCACTCCCTGTGACTTATGATCTCCAATGAAAGTGTTTTGTTATTCTTTATTCTCCTTTGTCTCACACCTCTGCTCACTGTTTCTATTATGCTTTTCTTGTACTTTCTTCTCTTGCTTCGCGTGGTACACGGAATGTGGCGATTTGAACTTCCGCACATTTGTGCAAAGTTCTATGTCAAAAACAGACAGACAGAGACTAAGTCACATCATCCTGGAGAGAATAAAAGATGTAGTGGATACAGAACTCCGCCAGCCCCAAAGGAAACAGCTGTCTGGATTCAGGAAAGACAAATCAATTCTCATTTTCAACACCAATGTGAAGTCGGTTCTTCTATACGGGTCAGAAACTTGGCTAGCGTGTCACGAAGTAGATTTCCAACGGGTAGCAAGCTTTCATCAACAGCTGCCCATGCTGGCTGTATACTGAAGATCAAGTTGCTGGCCAGAAAGAATTAGTAACAAAAAACTGTGGCTGGCAACAAACCAACCAAGAGCCCATCGCCAAACAAATATTTAGGAGCAAAATGGAGATGGATTGGTCGGGAATACAATCAGCAGGCCGTCGAATGACACCACGCACCACCAGACCATTGCTCGAGTGGAATCCAAATAGGAAGCGACTAGTGGGTCTTCCTAGGGTGACATGGAGGAGATCGTGTGAGGAAGAGACGAGAGTTTGGTCACTGATGAATAGGACGGCAGAAAACAGAACAAAGTGGAGAAGTGTTGTTGAAGTCCTATGTCCCACTCGGAGGAAAGCAAGGGAATAATAGTAATAAATAAGCCTTCATTTGTGACAGCTGAAATGTATTTTCGCATCAGTGGAATCGTCACTTACTGTGAATAGATAGTCAGATGGATGAATTCGATGATCACTTCATTTTAGTGCGAATTCACATCCCCATCGATAATAATATGATACAAAGCTAAACTGTCGAGATAAACATGAAAACCTTGTTAATTTAGCGACGAGTACATAACAATTTGGCGACGGGGAAAACTACTATCAACCACTGAGCAGCAGCAACATAACAATTTACTATGGATTATTCTAAATTGGAATTATTATTTGAACAACAAATGAAATTAATGGAAATGTTCGTCAACCAACAGACTGGTCCAGCTCCACCTTCAAGCAATCCCAATCATACCATGCTACCATCTGTCGACGGCATTGTGAACAGCATTTCACAGTTCAATTATGACCCAGAGGCTAATGTCACTTTTGACACATGGTATCAACGTTATGAGGATTTATTCACTGTTGATCTCGCCTCACAAGACGATGCCTGGAAGGTGCGAGTGTTGTTACGTAAATTGGGTCCGGCAGAATATGAACGGTACTGCAACCTAATTTTACCCCAGAAACCACGTGACAAGTGTCTCGATGATACAATAAAGCTGCTGCGTGAACATTTCGGAGACCACTCCTCATTATTCAGTATACGTTATCGTTGCCTCAAGCAGACAATGAATGAAAATGATGATTTTCTTACTCACGTTGGCACAGTCAACCGAGAATGTGAGAGATTTCGACTCAGGTCCTTAACAGATGATCAATTCAAAGCCTTGATTCTCATATGCAGTCTTCAATCTCCTCGTTTCACAGATATCCGAACTCGACTGCTCAATCAGCTAGAACAAAATCCTAAGTTAACATTACATGACATAGCTGATGAATATCAACGGCTGATTAATCTGCAGAAAGATACACACCTGGTCGAATCAACACCTTCGAGAAGCTCTGATATTCGTGCATTACGAAAGAGCAAAAATCTCTCATCATCCACTCCTGACCCACCTTCTTCTAATGTTCCGCGGAAATCTACAGATACTCGTCCAACTTCACAAAATACTGCAAAGAAGACCCCACCATCACCATGCTGGCATTGTGGCGCGTGGCACTTTGTAAAGTCTTGTCCGTACAAAAATCATCGTTGCAGCAAGTGTAAAATCATCGGTCATAAAAATGGTTTTTGTCAGCCACGCAAACCCAGATGTCAAAATCCAGCAAAAGCTCGACAAACTGTTGGTCCTAAATCCCCCAAAAAGTCATTGAGTCTACGCGCAACCTGTCAAGTCACAACACCAGGTATGCGGAAATATCTTGATCTTCAGATGAACGGTCATGATGCACGTCTGCAGCTAGATACCGCCTCTGATATTACTGTTATATCAGAGAAACTTTGGAATTATATTGGCAGACCACCAATCGGATATACTTCCCAGACTTTTCTCAGCGCCTGTGGTGGGCGGCTCAAACTAATTGGTGAACTCAAATGTTCTGTTTCCTTCCGCAATACCAAATTCACAGGAATTTGTTACGTCACCAAGAGTGATTTAAATCTTTTGGGACTTGATTGGTTCGATCGTTTGCATCTGGCTGATGTCCCACTAAATTCTCTACGCAATACAGTGAAGAAGCATAAAATGCTAGACAATTCCGGACGGAGCCGAAGCCGCAAACCCAACATCAGACGAAACGACAGGCGTCAACAACAAGCCCAAAGGTCCCAGATAAACCCCCAGGTAAACATCCTACTAATCATCCATCTTCTCAAAAGGGGAGGTGATATGTATCCACATATATATATTTATGTGTGTGTGTATGTTGGTCTCTCTTTCTGTTTGCTCGGTTAGTCTGTGACCACTTCACTTGTATGGACTTGTCTCCTTTAATAATGTGTATTCTCCTTATATTATATTATATATAATATGAGTGTTTGTTGACAGTCCGTTGCTTGGTGACATATATCCATATATGGTTGTTGACATGTCTGCTATATTCGCTATGTATATTTGGATCGACACTCCATTATAATTAGCCATTCATGTTAAGACTGTCTAATGATTTGTTCCCACGCTTTGTCTGGAACATTCATATATATTTCGCATTCACAATCTTGTGACTTTACTTTACTTACTTATCACTTTGGTGTGAGACCATTTATTTTCGTCTCCTTGTGTTTGGACAATAGAAGTATCATCGCAAACCTAGTGGTCTTCTGATTTCCGCCTTCTCGCGTCAGGACTATTAGTTTCTCGACCAGTCCATAACAATAATTTAGCGACGAGTACATAACACTTGTGCGCTATATTTGTGAGATGATACTCTACTATTAGGAAGCCTGTATCTAACAACATACCTTATCCTGCGCTCCTCAACCAAGAAATACAGTCAATAAAAGCGAAGCACTACAAAAAGACTTGTCTTTTTATCACTGTATTTGGCGTAATCACTGAAAAACTTAAAACTGAGACCAAATCAGTACTCTCTGTTGTGTGTGTGTTAGCCACAGAACTAGAAAAGAGGGGTCAGGGTACGAAAATGCATCGTCTGAAGCCATTGAGTTATTGTTTGTCAAGCTAAACCAGAAAAAAGTTCAATGCGCCAAGAACCTCCTAACTTTTGATTTGCGTTACGTTATGCTGAAAAGAAAACCGTTGAGAACTTTAAGTGATATATGCATGGGTATGTTATGATATATATCTTTATTAGATTTCTTTTTGTTTAGACTGGCTGTCTATTCAAAACTTTTAATAGTGTCACTTTTATTTCGTCTCTTTATAGGAAAGTAAATTATGGAAATTTGAATAGATACTAAGCAAATCGGTTGCTGCTGTACATCTCTGTCTGACTTAAATGCAACTCGTGTAATACGATCAAGTAGGGACACGTAGGGCAAGTTGTATAACCGACTGACTAGATATACCAACTCAACTGCTTCTCACAATGCATTAGGAGTTTTTTTTGAAGGCTGTTTGTCGGTATACCATTTACCACACAGACCACCCATCATTTCACTGATCTCTGTTTATTGCTGTCAGTCAGTAGGCTAGGTGACGTACAACACCTTCCATCTCACTGATGCATTGTAATTTACACTGGCTATTCATAATGTCTATCAGCCCACCCGAACACAGATAGGAAAAAATGTTGACAATTTGCAAGGACACCTCCTCTATGAGGAGAAGAATCCCAAAGCTGCACTGACACTATTCGTATTCACCATCCTAATTTACTTAGAGTGCACTGGGAACGAACACATGCCAAAAAAAAGTCGATAAAAATCCAGAGTAGTACTGTTGAAACTAAAATAGGACGGTAGACTATTTTAATCCTTTATAATATTAGTAAAGTTGTTTATGCTTGTTGTTTTTTTTTGTATTCATTAATCCAATTATCATCTCATGCCTGCCTTTCAGAGCTTAAAACACAACCTGCTTTTTTGGTTAGTCAAGTTGTTAATTGCTGTCACAATTCATTTCACTTTATATTGTATGTATCATATAGAAATCGGACATTTAATCCTAAATATGGTCTTGGCAGTAAAACAAGTGGGGTGAAGAAACTGCCTCCGATGCATTTTTAACCGAAATCTCACTTCATGTAAACATCATATACATATATTTATATACATATACTAATTAACGTCAGTGCATTCGATTCAACGTGTATCAACTTAAACGTTCGTTAACTCGTATACATATCGTGTGAGAAACAAGAGGAAATTTTTTCGTTTGACTTATAAAATATTGTTATTATTGTTGTGGTTTTTTCTTTACATAATACACAATATATAAATTTATATAGATATATATATATGTATGTATTTATATACTGGTTTACTTTCTCCTTACTAGAAATACAAAATTCTCTGTTAAGTCGGCAAAACAATTGTTTCAGCTACAATTGGCAAAAGATCTTTCGTTTTCAACCGCCAATTTTTAGGATCTTTACTAATTTGACACCATACTTCACCATGACGCGGTTCCGCGTTGACACAACGTTTGTACACTTCTTTTTGTTGATCCTGACGTAAGGGAAAGAAATTGAAATGAAAATATATTTAAAAAAGTGCAGTATTATCCAGGTAGGTGTACACACACACACACACACGAGGGAGTATGCGCAGAATGACAAACTCCAACCCCATTTCAGGCTCTATAGTTGTCACGTGAATTTAACAAACTGGTGGTCAGCACTCACCTTACGAGGTGTGCAACATAGATGATGGCACTGAAGTAGACACAGACCAAGTCGGAAATTAAATACCTAGGCGTCATTCTATCTGCTGATCTTTCCTTCCTGGTCGTCTCATATCTTGATGATTTATAAGAAAATATTCCGTCTCACTACCTTCTACATCAAGAAGTTAAGACATTCTGGAATTACCCAACCCAACCCTTACTCTTATGATTCGTTAACCCCCGTATTCTGCCTATTATTCTCTGTTGTTCCCCCTTAGAAGAAAGACTATACCTTATCACGGAGGATGTTAAAGGTTGTCAGCAGGGTAAGCAACGTGCCACTTAACCAGCTTGTTAATATTCTGGTTGACAGCCACTTGAACTCATGTGGAAAATGAGCTAAATCCATTTTATCTAACTCACACCACCTTCTTCATTTACAACTCTCTCCTTGTATCTCATCAGGCAGGACCAGAAGCCTATATAGAAAACTTTATGCTCGCACTAGCAAGTACAAAAACTCAATCATACCCTACTTAGCTCGTGTTTTGTGCGATAAAGAACAAAGCATTAGGCGTGATATACCTATAACTTATTAAATAGTCAGTAGAACAACTGGATCTCATCTTTTCAACTCATATCATTTACAGGTACAACGTTTTTCTTTCTTTCTTTTCCTTTTCTCTCTCTCTCTTTTCTGTTATGTGCTGCTTTGTCTCTTTGTTTTGCTTACGCCAGTAAATATGCTAGTATACCTACTTTTTTAACACCTTCAAACACTTCTGTTCAATTTTGGCTTTGCTACCAACCGATATGCCAATATGTTGTTGTCAAAACGAACTGAGATTACCCTTAATCTATGTAGAATTTTATTTTATTGTTAATTTACTAACTGGATGCAATACTGTAGTAAAAGGCTGTGAATTCCATTCTGTATCGCAGGTGCTGTTTTGGAGTAAAGCAAATTATTATTATTAACAATCTCGTATACCAACGGAAGTTTATTTTTACATTTAAAAGAGAACTAATACAGATTCACGTAAAATAATTATTCACTTTGGTTATCCAAGCCTTGACAGATGTATCACAGTTTGAATTTGTGGAATCTACCTACCCAGACGAGTAGCTAAACCAATATGTAGCATGCAGCTAGTTACTCACACTTGGGTTGAGACGACTGCAAACAATCAGTTTTACTATTTGTATTAAGATTCGAGTTTTGTATGTTTATTGGATGAGTGGTTGGTAATTCTTAGCTGTTCACACAGTAAAGCTGATTCTTTAGAGAACTCGAGAAAGAAAATGTATTAATTTCACACATGTTCGCAGAGCTCAAGAGACGACGGTTTGTGACCGGTTACTTTTTAGCGCTGATAGAGTGCGGCGTTAAGTTCTCTCCATAAGGGAAACCCTGTTGTCCGCTTGAGATCGCTGTAGAGTAATTCAAGACTTGCAAGCTTTAAGATCAACTGCCTTTTCGATCATAGAGGAGTGAAACACACTTAACTGATGCCGAACTCCTATCCACACCAAGAGTATGACTTCATCCTCAAAACCACAACATACTATAAGCAGCCGACACTATAACAGTGATTGCTTTTAGTCTAACTGCTATTCAACGAAAAACCTTTCCGACATGTTAGAACTTATAAAAACATTCATTCCAACTACACGTTGGTTCAATGGGACGTACATACCAAGTCAAAACAGCAGCTACTACTGATCGGGCAGTGAAACTGCGAACGCCATATGAAGAAGATTACTTCACACGTTTTTATTACAAATATACACAAGAACTTATTTATATACGCCTGTTTCAAAGATGAAATTGTTTTTAGGGCACAGTCTATTTCAATTAAACGTTAACTTTGGTAGTATAACAATGATAAAAAAAGCAATTAAATATTTGCTTACTTCTGTGCCATGTTGTAGTTCAATTTATAAAAATAAGCCCATGCATCACCAAGATCAGGTTCTAGTTTCACTGTTCTTGTGAACCAATTACGCGCCTTCATGACCAGTCTTTCACACCAGAACATTCTATGAAGACAAGAATTTAAATGTTTAAAAAGAAAAACGATAGTTGACTGAAAAACACATAATCAATCCATCAAGAAAACATTGTATGACTGACTGACTACACGAACTATGTAGCTAATTGACCACACGTTGTATTGAAAACAAAAAGGCAACCGTTAACAACTGCCAAAGTTTCTATTGCAGACTTTTCAGCTTTGAAAATTCGCCACAATACAGACTAGCTATAAAAGTCCCTGGTAAACCTACCATTTTGAAAAGCTAGAATTCTCATAATTTATATTAGTATCATTACTAAAACACAACCCTGATGATACATTATAGACACGAAGAGATGCGCTAAACAAAACAGCATAGTTTGTGCGAGGACACAGAAATTGCTCAAACGCCCAAACCAAAGCATGTGGTTGTCGTACGGGACAACCCCACCCCCTCTAAGCGTTCTGCTTGAAGTCTGATCCTCATGGTGAACAAACCAGATTAATACACCATTCCCTTCGTTTGAATCTTAGAGCTCATGTACACCACACTTTTGAAATCATGGTTCTCCAGCCCCTCCTCAAAGCAGACCAGCATATTCATTAGTCCAGCTCTAAGTACTAGAGGTTTGTAGAGCTCAGAGTTATCATACTGCACTCTAAACTCATTACTTCCCATGATACAGTTAAATACTAATTAAACCTAGTGATATATACGGCAGTATGGTGTTGCATTAAACAAAACTAGACTTGAGAATGAATCTTGATTTTTACAACCTACTTGTTTTTTATTCATTTGCATTCCCGGTGAAACATAAGGTTCCAGTGAATGTGTAGTGTTGTGTTTTTTTTTTACAGAGAGGGGTTACTTTTCTCACACCCAACCTCCCTCTTCCCCAGAGTTATTAACGGCTAGTACATCGACTGGGAATAGAATTTAAGACGAAGTGAGTGGTTGGTGAGCATTCCTACCACTGGCCTACCCATGTGACCCCTACTACTATTACTGAATTATTTCTACTTAAAAACAACCCTAGTACTGTCACTAAACGAAAAAGAAAGTAGAACTATATATACACACACAATGTTCATTTATATAATGGAAGACATTAACTGTTAGGTTAATAAAAAAAATAGTAAGAATTAGAAGAGTACATACATTTAATGAAATCGATTATTGAATGGGTTAATAACAGTGTATAGAAGACTTACTTGGATACAGCTAAAAGAACCAATGGGTCATGTTCACATTTCTTTAATGCATCTACGGATTTACTTTTGCGTTGAGCTCTTGGAGTCATGAATATTGCTTCAGCCCATAGACAACCTGATGCTGGACATTCTTGAAGAGCTTTTGAAAGGAGTGATTCAGCAACAGGTTTTAAATTGGCTCTTGTTTCTAACCTGATAGCCTCTAACCTAATCACATTAAGGAAATGAAGGGAAATAGATAAATAACTCAGTGATAATATCAGGTTACCATCTGAGAATTTGTTAGGTGGTCACGTGTTTCTAATCAGTACCTTGATTTGATACATCAGTGCAGAATTGCTGCACAATAGTGTGAGAGAGAGAGAGAGAAAAAGAATAGTTATGCGAAGACTAGTATTCCCAGGACCACTTGTTCTATTCAGTTAAATGCCTCCCTTAGGTGGCAAGTATTGGACATCTGAAAGCATACTTGTGTTCCAGCACCTTTTAACGACATTCTACCCTGATAATAAGTCAATCCCTGAGATGTCGAAGTTGGCTTGAGTCGCATCCATCAGTACACGCATAATGAAAATGAATTAAAAAAAATGGTAATATTGAGTACCGCTGACAGAAACTCCTGGTTTTCTTCACTTCAGACAAAAACTCTCCATGAGTACTTGCATAACTTCGTGAGTTCCAAAGCAGTGGTCTTGATGGCTGATTCAGGAACTCATTGAAGTTATCAGTCCAGCGTTTTCGATTTTCCCCTCTTTAATAATCGAATTTTTTCTCCATTATCTTTCACTAGCTTCATCTATGTTGACCTCTTCTCGGATAGTGACCTATTTATCTAACATAGTGTTCTGAGTTCTCTGTTACCTGTGGCTTATTCTGTTTCAATGGCCTGTGTGTGTGTGTGTCGTTAAAGTGACTTATGTATTTTTTAGCACTCTTCTTTATTTGTTATTTAATGCGCTGTAGGTCATGCACAGATTCTCCTTTCGTTGTTCATCTATGAACTGGTTTATCTGTTTCACCATTCCTCTCTCCTATGTTAGCTTCTATGTGTCCGCAAAGAAACATTTTGTAAGTTGTTTCTCACTGGTGCCTAAAATGTCTAAACAGGCTTCTAGTGTTCTTCCATGCAAATGCCCTCTCAGTGATATTGTTAAATGTTTTAGGTGTTTCGTGATAAATGCAGCAGCTTCATCTTTTGGTTTCGGGATGTTAAACCTGAGTTGCGGCCAATCTACAGATTCTTTGAAGGCTTTTATATTGATCTGGAAGGTTCCGTGCACTAGACAATGATCTAAAACCACATATGCTCTTTTTCTGAAATACGTGTCTGCGCCACCACTTTCTAAGACTTGGGTTGAAGTCTATCTGATTTTCGGCGTGTCCATTTAGTGAAACTCACATCGCCCTGTTTATATCCTCGTGCACGTGTAGATGCTGTTCCCAAACACCAAATCAATAAAGCGTTTAGAAGTTCGTAAACAGTTTGTCATTCTCATTTAATTCACTGAGTGTATTTAGACCCATGATGAGTTCTCTCTCTGTGTGTTGTCTCCTCCCAGTTGGCATTAATATTATCCATTAGAATTGTGATGTCAACATCTGGCTCGAGTCTTGTCCATTACTGCTTGCGAATGTCTACAGAGGTATTTCACCATTCTCTGGGTCTGAGTTGGTTGTAAGAGTACACCGTTAGATAACTGCAACTTTCCTTCCATTTGAGTTGAATCTTGCCAACGTTATCCCAGAGAAGATTAATTCCCACTCCAATAAGAGCCATTGATGATGTTGGTGGTATCGTGAAGCTCATCCATCCAGTGTGCTCATGGCTATTCTCTAGATGACCGCGTCGGTGGCACAGTGGTTAGGACTCTCGCCGACCATGCACATGGTCCGGGGTTCGAGCCCACGCCGGCTCACACCTGATATCTATGGTCGGCCTGCGAAATTTGGGCTACCGATATCCATGCTGAAAATTCCATACTTGTACCAAAAATACAATGTGGAATCAAGCTGTAAATCAAAAATAAAAAAAAAATAAAAATTAACTCACAAGTAGCCAATTTTGAAAGTTCACTATCATTTCATATTTTCTCACACATATGTGCACTCCTACACCATATACTCTCATTTCCTGTACAATCTGAAGCACCCTTCCACCCAGTCAGCTTGAAATACCATGCAGACATCCTATGATCCCATGTTTATTTTGGTTTCCACCGAAAAAAGGCCATTAGTTAACTGGATTCCCGAAGACTGTTGTCACCAAAGCGAGTCATTTAGTCTATTCGATTCCAATGAAGATTAAGTTTACTTCGTAAACTGTTTCTGTAGCAGCTGTGTTGATTTGCTGAGGTCGGTTCGCTAGCCCCACGCCTAACCTTCTCTCTTTCTTAGGGCTTAAAGCTAGCAGCCCCACCCCATTAAAATAAAAACCACTGCTACCGAAAAACCAAGCCTTTAGCTTGAAGCCCTATGTCCCATTGGGAACGTAAAGGAATAGTAAGAAGCTAAAAGCAAAACATGCGTCCATGGTATAGCGGTTAGGACGCTCACCGGCCATGCAAATGGTCTGGAGTTCGATCCCCGGCCGACGAAGCACTCCTTTACCTCGCTAAGCCAGTAGTCAGACTGGTAAAGAGTAAAGGTTGGGTGGGCATGAGGCCAGCGGCAACCCCATCCTGTAAAATAAACACTGCTAAAGAAACTTCAAGCCACTAGTTTGAAGGTGTCCTATGTTCCACTGGGGAACGTGAAGGAAAAAAAAAGAAAAACACGTTAACTATATACACATGTAATAGTCCTCGAACATTTATCCATCCATCCATCCATCCACGCAACACATGTCTTACACAACACACTTTAAGAGATACTTACCATAATTCAGGTGTTTTAGGATTTTGTGAACGAGCCTTCTCCAATATTGAACGCGACTTAGTCAAATTACCCTGTCGTTCTTCAAATCTGGCCAACTGTAACCACAGTGGAGTATAGTGTGGATTATGATTAAGCTGGAAGATAATTGAGTAAAAAAAAACAAAAAACCGTAATCAAAGGGATAAACACGCAGTGTGGATTTGGTTGTAGTTTGTTGTTGGTGTTGCCGTTTTTGATGCAGCAGATGGCATATAAATAAAAATCCAAAAAAAAAACAAAAAAAACAAATACTTCTTTAATAGATTCGTGAGCTTTTTCACTAGTCACCCCGGTAGGTAGTAGTTTACATAGGAGTCTGGTATTGTCATATATTCATAAATCAGATATGATAGAGAAGATTTGTAGCTCAGGTGGATAATTTTGATGTGGTTTTGTTCTCTGAGCTGGATGGTTAGTTTGCGAAGCTTTCATCGCCCTACTGGGTGACATCTTCAGCGCAAAACATTCATAAATCAGCCTCCCTCCCCAATACTTAATAAAATATCTCCCTCCACCTTACCCACTCTTTCTGTACTAAAAGTCTAGAAGAAGTACAACCATTACATAAAAATCATTTTTGGACACCTACAATACACATTATCACAAAGACGTGAGCTTTCGATTCCCATGATGCGCTTTTAACAAATCTACAAGCTTACCACCTCATGAAAACTTCGGTTTCTGAACTGGATTTTTGATACTCCTCTAAGTCTGTCTGTTTTCGACATAAAACCACCTTGCACAGATGTGCGCCGTTCAAGTCGCCACACTCCCTCTGTGTAGCACACAAAGCAACAGAAGAAAGTAGAAGAAATGCATAATAGAGACAGTAAGCAGAGGTGTGAGACAAAGGAAGAGTAATAACGAAGAACAAAACACTTTCATTGGAAATCACAAGTCACAAGGAGTGGATGCATCTGCGCTAGCCATTGAGAACGATTTTGAGCCATGTCACCAATTGTTTCCAACCATTGGTTTTACTGTCATCCCAAGGACCCCAACCAGGAAGTCTACATCTTCCTACGTAGCATTCATTGACTACTGCCATGTTTTTGTTTGACCGCCGCCAGCTCTTTTACAGTCTGAACCTACGTCAGCTAACATTTCCCGTCGAGGAAGGCGATGACTAGTCAGGGATGCGTAACACATGTCCTAACCATCTCAGTCTTTGTAACTTCACAACTTCGTCGATTGATTTCCCCTGTTTACCTAGCACTCGACGCCTAACCTCAATATTGTTCACTTTATTATGCCACTTCACACGGGAGATAGAACCCAGTCACCTATGATCAAAGACAGATAATCTTTTCATGTATTCCACTCTCAGTGGCCAGGTCTCACAGCCGGCAATAAAGGAGGACGGAGCGGATTGATGAGCAGTACACCCACCCTTTGGTCGATAGTCAGATATCCTGTCTACGCCAGAGACGGCGTAAACTGGCAAATGAGAAACGAACCCCCTGTCTCCGTGATGAGATTTCGTCGGAGATCAACCCGTTGGGGTTGATGCAACTTCCCAAATAAGTGAAGCGGTCAACGTGCTCTACCACTTCACAACTCTATATTTCTAAAATAGGAGTCAGTGTAGTCCAGTCTTGTAGCATCATCTTACATTTGGCGGGAGCGAATCGCATGCCAAACATTCGTAGATTGCAGCTCAAGGTGTTTAGAAGACTCTGCATTTCGTCAGCGTCCTCGCCTAGAAGGACTATATCGTCTGCATATTCCAAGTCAACGAGATTATTCCCTGGTAGCAAGTCAATCCCCGAGTCGCTGAAGTCACTGAGGGTTAAGTCCATTAGTACATCTATGATGAAGTTGAATAGAAAAGGGGATAATGGGCATCCTTGACGGACACCACTAGTCGTCACCAGTTCAGATGACAACTCGCCGTAAGCCCTCACCTGGCTGTATGAGTACGAGTAGAGTGCCTTAATCAGTGCAATGTATTTTCTCGGAATTCCCTTTACAGCCAAGCATCTCCAGAGAATCTATCGGTCGACAGAGTCGAATGCCATCTTTAGGTCAAGAAATATAATGACTGTTGGACGCCGGTAGGAATTCCTATGTTCTAGAATCTGTCGGAGGGTGAAGATATGATCAATACACCCTCTTCCTGGTCTAAAGCCTGCCTGGCTCTCTCGTGTTTGTGCCTCCCGAGCACCACTCAGTCTACGCATGATTATTGAGCCTAAGACTTTAGATACTATATTAGTCAAGCTAATCCCTCTGTGATTATCACAGGAAGACTTGTCTCCCTTCTTGTATATGGGGATAATCAGTGACTTACACCAACCCGATGGGACTTCTTCTGATTCCCAGACGCTGCCTAGTACCTCAGTTAATGCAGACAGTAAACTGTCTCCACCGTACTTAAATACCTCTGGAGTCATTCCATCAGGTCCCGCTGCTTTGCCTAGTTTCAGATTGGTGACAGCTTTAGTAACCTCAGTTAGGGACGGAGGACCTGTGTCTATATCCCATTCAGGGAGGTGTTGGATGTTCGGAAGGTTGAGCGTGGCTGTGGGCCAATTAAACTGCTCCTCATAATGCTCTTTCCAACGATCCAGTCGTCTATCCTGGGAGCTAATTATAGTGCCATTTTTTTCCGAGATTGTTTCACTTATGATTTGTCTTCTCCCACCCGTTTCCCTGATGAGTCTAAAGAGTTGCCTGGTGTTGCCTATCCTCGAAGCTTTTTCCATCTCTTTGGCTTTTGTCACCCACCACTGTTCACGGTCCTTGCGGAGACTTTTCGTAAGTTTCCTTTTGTGCAGCTTTCGCTCCTCATTGAATTCGGAGCTCGCCGGAATAAGTCTTCTAGCATCTATCAGTTCGGATGAGGCGGTGGAGATCCAGTGGTTTTTACTCACCTTTGGGTTTACCTTATTCACAGCTTTTACAGCTGTATCTATGGCTGCCTGGATATTTTTCCAAGCTTCTTCAGGGTGAGCACAGCTGTCGAACACAGATATGTGTTTAGCTAGTTCTTCCTCAAATACGGATTTAGTTTCCTGATCGAGCTGGGGACGTGATGGTTTTACCGCCAGCTGTTTCCTACGTCCGTTCAGTCGTAAGCACACACGAGCGCGGACCAGTGCATGGTCGGTATCTACACACGTGTTCCAGAAGGAGCGACAATCTCCTACCGACCCACGCCAACGATAGCTTATTGCTATGTGGTCTATTTGTGTCCAGCGTTGGTTTGATGAAGGGGGTCTCCAAGTCAAACAGTGTCTCTCCTTGTGTTTAAAGTTAGTGCTTACAAGAAACAAATGATTATCAGAACAGAACTGTAGGAGACGGTCACCGTTGTCGGTTCGCTGGCACGGAGCTCCATAGGTGCCACCGACATCCTTCTCAGATTGACACAATTTCCCTACTTGAGCGTTAAAGTCACCAGCTAGAACGACTATGTCTGAGCGTTTAGCCTTTCGCACAAAACTAGACAGCTTTTGGTAGAACTCATCCTTCGTTTCATCTGAACTGCAGTCAGTGGGGGCGTAGGCGGAGATTACGAAAAGGCATCGGCGAGTAGTGCAGTCCTTCCTCCTTCTTACTGATCCGTTCAGGCGGACAGCACACATTCGGCTATCTACCGGGATCCAGTCAAGCAATGTCTTTTCTGCCCTAGTACTCAAAGCTATCCCTACGCCAGCTAATCCTCGTGAACTAGCTGTGGCATCTCCTGACACCCTCAAGGTGAATTTTGCAGATTCAACCTGTTGGCCAGGTGGGGTTAGGTGAATAACCACACTTGGGTCTTGTATGCGTGTTTCTGAAACACAACATACATCAATGGCTCGTGATGCCAGGGTCTTGGCTAGTGATGCTTGTTGTCCTATTTGGCAAAGTGTCCTAACATTAAGAGCTCCTATATGAAATTGGTGGCGCGGCTTTAAGAGGCTGTCGGTGGTGGTTTTTTGGCTTCCATCGTTTTTAGTGGACGCAGAGTGGAGAGGAAGTGGAGAGCTATCAAGTCGAGGAGTTGCATCAGTGGAAGGAAGGCAAGATGATAGAGATGAAGATGAAGACAAAGATGAGTGAGTAATAGAGAGGTTTCGTGTGCATTTCGGATTGTGAGGGCGATTGTTACTTCCCGGCTGCCCACACCGTGGAAGTTGGTTGCGTGACCGCAGAGCCCAGGGGACAACTGCTTGAGGCCGGTCACACGCGGCCTGCTTTTGTTTGTTCGTTTTTGTTTGGTGTGTCTCAGTAGCAGATTTATCACTCCTGCCCTGTGACACGGCAGCAGGAAGCGCGGTCATTGTTAATCCGGGCCCCAACCGATCCGGCATGATGTTTTGTGAGTTTGTTTGTATCATAGTAATGGATTGGGCAGCTGCTTTTTGTCTAACCGTTATCTAAACAACCTTTCTGACATGGTAGGACCTGAAGAGACATAAGTCTCAGCCAGTATAGCTTGAATAGATCATTGCGGTGTTCAAGCCCGACCACCACGTCAAGATAGCAGCTTTCGGTGGAGATACGCCTCTAAGCAGGATTCTAGTGTAATCCAACAGCCAATACTCATTTTCTTGCAATTGTAGATATAGGAACAATTCTAGAGCCACACTACATATCAAATTAGTCACATGTAAGCTATTCTTCTGGTGGTGTTGTAAGACATACACTTCTGTAGTCTCTGAACTAACTGCAGCTCAGAAGATATAAAAGACGAACTCCATTCAAAACCCCGTATTACTACATAAACAGGACATTCAGATGTGGTTGTTTAAAGGTCGGATATAAATGTACAAATTAGGAAGCACCTACGCAGTGTCTTCATAGTCGAATACCAGTGAACTGATAACAGCAATCATGTGTTGCGATTGTATTAGGATAACTATGTACTGAAGACTAGTAATAACTTCAGAAATAGAGAGAGATGCTTTATTTGGTAACTTTACCTTCAAGCACATTTAAATGATAAAACTGAGAAAACCGTATCTAATTCGGGTACTATTGGAGGAGGAGGAGGAGGAGTTTATGAAAAGACGATTTTGAGCCATGTTGTCAACAACAGTCTCGAGTTCTTAACAACGTTGGCCAGGAACTTTACACATCCCTACATGAATCAAAACCAACAGTCAAAGATTACATAGACTGATGCGATGTTTTGATTCGACGACGCCTATGTCTCTTTTCCAACCTAATATTACATCAGCTAACACTGCTCGAAGTAAAAGACAATGTAGGATAACATACACTAGTTGTTTACACAAAAGAAGATGCATTGTATCAACCATTGTGAAGCTTCTAGTTCGTATACATTCACGTACAAAAAGTACACTTCTAAAGCGAAATGCGCGTATGGTGGTGATTTGCTCTGATGATTATGAAGTTTCACCTGTCAAGGTAGTGCCAATAATAATAATAAATACAAAAAGACAGAATATTTTTTGATTAAAGGTATTTGATTAAAGGTATGCTCTCAGTTTCTCGTGATAAGTGGAGCGCAACACGGCAAATAATAATGAAGTAGGAGGCAGAGAGTTAGGTGAGGAAAGGATATTTAACAGATTGAGTTATGATGCTCCATAAACTGAGACGGAGACATTGAAAAGAAATACTAGTTGAAAAAAACAAAAACTAGGTTTTAAAAACGAAAAATCAGACTGTTAACAGAATTAGACTGATATCACCTCATAATGAAATCCTCCAACTAATGAAACGAAATCCCTACAAAAAAAATCAATACTTGAAACTTTATCTGATGCTCACTAGCGACTGGTCCCCTATTTAGACAGTTAACCTGGGGTTCTAGTGGGAAGCCGTAACCACCAGTAGGGTACAGCAGGTTGAAGATGAGGCATTAACTCATCGAAGAAGATATTGAGAAGTGGTCGGGCTATGTCATGAATTGGCAGAAGTTAGAATTCATGGGCTGACTGGTCATTGGATCGGGTCCCAGTGGCTTTATGATCTAGGGGGTGGTTGGCCTTGTAACCAGAAGGTCCTGGGTTCGAATCCCTCACCGTGGTGGGTGCGTACTGCTGAATAGCCAGTCCCAAACTAGGCTGACGAAATAGCTGGCTGTCCAGTACTCCCTACAGGTTTTCCAATGGACCTCTAACTGATGTGTCAGCTCACAATGAAATCCTTCGACTAATCAATCAAACAAAATCCCTACAAAAACAACCAATACTTGAAAAAAAAGGATGAGTATAATTCTTACTTACACCTTCACGATAAGCTTTTCTTGCACGTTCTCTGAGTGAATTCACTTCTTCTGGTTTTTTATCTTCATCATTTGAAATTTGTTCACAAATTTGACTAAGCATCAACCATAACTTTGGTGCTTGACAATATGTTGTTGTAGCTTTTTCAAGCATTTCTAATGCTTTATTGAATTCACCTAAACACCACTCTAGTCTAGCTGATTTCATCCATACACGAGCAGTTGATGCAGATGCACACGCCTTATCTAACAGACGACGTGCACGTGCATATTCTTTATTTTCTGATTCAAGTTTTACAGCTGCTAACCATATCTCTTCTGAATTAGGATTTGCTTCAAATGCACGTGCAAGTATAGAACGTGCTGCAGGTACATCACCCTGTGTAATGGAATTGTAAAATTGTAAAATCCAATTTAGAAACAAAAAGAAAGTTGGGAGAAAAAAAACAAACATTTTTGTTATTCCAAACAAAATTCAATGAACGAATCACACTTGTATGCTCACTGAGAAAGATTCACATCATATATCCCAATATAAAGCAAGGGGTTTAATTCAATTTTATACTCCTAGCAGAATCTTTTTCTTAACAGTTTATACAATATGCATTATTATTACTGTTCCCTTGGGTTCCTAGTGGAACATAGGGCTTCAACTGCACGTCTCCATTTCCCACTTGTCTTATGCTGTACTTTTCATCTGCATCCATGTTAGTCCATACTCTTTTAACTCCTCTTCACACGATCTCCTCCATGTCAACCTTGCACTGACGTCCCACTCGCCGCTTGCTTCCCTTTCGGGTTCCACTCGAGGGCCTCCTCAACGAGTGTCCAATCCATCTCCACTTTCTCCCGAATATTTGTTGTTGTTGGGTGATTGGTTCTTGTTTTGTTTGTTTCCATAGTTTCTTGTTGGTGATTGTTTCCGGCCCGGCCATCTGATCTTCAATATAGAGAGAAGACAGTTAGTTGTTGATAAAGGTCTGCAACAGGCTGTTGGAAATATTCTTTGTGACCCGCCAACCTCGCCTAGATTACTAGCTAACTAGTTTTCTAGCCAGTTCCAAGCCCGGATAAAGAGGGAGGGTTGGGGCGTGGTGCTAGCAACTCCACCCTAAAAACTTAACCAAATTGCTACAGAAACTTCAACGCATAAATATATTAAAAATACTGAAAATATACAATATGCATACATAGATTTAAATTTTCATGTGTCGGAATCAGACCACTCCGTTTCTGTTTACAGCTTAAAAATAATACAGTATTCAACTGAGAACACACCTACAGTTCATGTTGCATCTAAGACGGGAAACATTGTAAAAATAGGTACCGGTCAGTAATAGATAATACAGTTATAGAGTGCCATATGTATTGTAATCACTTTCACCAGATTAAACGCTACTGAAGTGTTAAAAGACTAGACAAAGTAAGTAAAAACTCAAAAACAAGAAATAATAATTTCCCTGGCTTAATAATTTATCAGAATACGTTCAATCTGTTAGGATAATGAGTGAAGAAATGGCTCATTTGGCTTAAGTACTCAACTTTCTACCAGTTTGTCCGGGGTTCAAATCCCAATTCACCTACCTTAGCCTGTGCAACAAGCTGGTATTATTAGCCGGCACACAATAAGAACTTAGTAACTCACAGTCTGGAATGCATGAAAATGCACTCTAAGGAAGTGAATTCACAAAATAGTGGATCTGTGCATACAGATTATAAAATAGGAATGAAGAGAACTTGTGTGTTAGACGGAGTTTAACCGATGATTACATGCATACACTGCAAATAAACATCTCATCGAAACAGATTAAAAGATTAACGCGAAAAAAAAGTAGTTTTCACATTCCTCTATAAAGAAGCTATCACGGCGATGCACACCGAGATATATTGACTGCCCAATTCCGCCAAGATGGATTTTTGAAAGCGTTTTTTTCTCTTTCATCAATATTTGTCACTTTCATGTCTACTATTACCTTTACTCGCCTAACTATAATAACTATTCTCATTCTTCGTGTAAAAAAAAAAGTTTTATAAGTTAGAAAGTAGGTTCGAGTTCGCCTCCTAAACGACGCACTCCTAAGCCAGATGAAGAGGAAAGGTTTGACATGGTCCAAAGCAACCTGATCCCATAAAAGAACACCACCGTTACCGAAACTTCAAAGTTCAACTGTTAAATCTATATATTCCACTGGGAACACAGAGGAAATATTCAAGCAAACGTGTGTGTGTGTGTGTGCATGTGATCAGTCAGTCTGTTAGAAATGCATTGCATGAATAATAAGAAATTTCTCTGAAACAAATTTTCTTATATTATGCTATAGTTATCCATATATATTCAAGGAGAAATGAACGAGAAAAACAGAGTAGGCGAAGATTTATCACAAGCTAACAGTCCGGATACACAGAGTCTAAATGAATTTGCAGTCAGACAAAAATTAGTGCCCGGCTGTCGATTACTTGATATGTTGAGCTAGTAATGTACCGCCCCCCCCCACCCCGCCCAGTACTCTCTCCCTTCCTTCAATTAACTAGACAGTCAGATAATAAACTGTTAATTTGAAAAGAAGTAACAAACTCACCGCAAGCCAACGTGTTTTTGCTGCCATAAGCCAGAGCACTTCTGCCTGAGGACAATGACAAACTGCTTGACGTAAAAGTTCCTCCAAAGTTTCTCTATGTAATAACAAAAGACAGGGATTTTTTTTTCGCACACAGATTTCGAAATGGCATTGTTCAACGCAGAATTATTATTAAGTTGTTAATAGACCTACTAATAATAATTATGAGATAAAATATTTATACAACGTTTCCATTTATAAAATTAATTATTAAAAAAGAAATAATATATCAGTTATACGAGTATATGTAAGGGCAGATTATGCATATGCATTAATGTATTCACAGAGATCCCAGTTACTTACAATATACAGAAAGTCTACAAGTGCTCAGCACAACACTAATTATCTAATTATCATTTAAGTGAAATACAAAAGTAGAGCTTTAGAACCACCACAAATTTTTGAATTTCATCAGTTTAAGTTTGTTCAACTGAGGTGGTCAGTGAAGGAGCGTCTCTGACAATGTAGACCGCTGTAACAGCACAGGGCATGGTGGCTGTTTTTGATGGCGGAATTGTTCTTTGTTGTGAAAATAATGCACAACTATGGTGAAATACAGACACCTTACACAACATTGCAAATTTATTTTGCGCTTGTGGCGCTTGTATCGTGACTCTTTGGCGGGTAGCGCTTTCATTGTTTCTGATGTTGTTTTACACAAGGACCTGTCATTTCGCCTCTTTGCGATTGAATCCATCGGTCTACTGTTCAATATTCCAGCACAAGACACAGAATACAACTTAAAAAACCTTATCAGTGACCGACTTAGTGACTTTAACACAGACATTTGCACAGATATCTAGCAGTTAAACTTGCCACACAAAGTATGTGAAGAGAGCAAAGAGAGATTGAAAAGTGAGATGTCAGGAATAGTGATATGGAAGAAAAATACAGTTTTATTGGATTTGTCAATTCACAAAAACTGAATACACCTGCGTCATTGGAAACAACTTTGAAACGTATCACTAATTATCTCCATCTGAGAACCCCAACCAGTCAGCCAGTCTATACCTCCCTGCGTGACTCAAACTAACTATCAAGGATCTCATACACTGATTCCAAGTGAAGTCTTAATCACCACCAGCTATTCTCCAACCTCATCACCCATCCTATGTCACCTGACATCAACCGTCGAAAAAGGTGATGGATAGACATACGTATCACATGTCCTAACCATCTCAATCGACTCACCTTTACATCCCCAACAATTGACTCTCTCTCTCTCCTTACCTAACCACTCAACGCAAAACATCAATATTACTCATCCTACTAAACCAACTAACATGGGAAGTAGAATCCAGACACCTATAGTCAAAATGATAGCTCACCTTTCCATTTCTCCCACTCTCAATCCACTGTCTCACGGCCGTTAATGTGGACGAAGCGAATTGGTGAGCAGTACATCCGTCCTTCCATCGAAAGTCGGATATCACGTGTACATCAGAGATGGCGTTACCTGGCAAATACTACACGATCCTTTTGTGTATGTACTCAGATTTCGCCAGCGATCAAACTGTTGAGGCTCATGCAACTTCCTAAATAATTTAAGTGATCAACACGCTCCACCACTTCACTCTATACCTATCTTCAATCTAGGAATGGGTCAATGTAAACCAGACATGCAGCGTCATCATCTTACATTTGACAGGAACAATACTACTAATTGAAACGTTTCACATAACAGAGAAATTCATCATTCAGTCACAAGGGTTGTAAACCAACTGCCCACGCCACTTCCCAATCGGGGATATATATATACATTAGGACAATCAATTTATACTGACAAATTATGTCCGACTATTCACTATCTCACTGTCATACTCTCCCAGGTAATCAAAACTGAAATACTACATAAATGCCATGATGTATCATCGGTGGATAATCGTACAATGGTCGCCAGGTATGCAGGAGGCACGGGTTCAATTCCCAGGCTAACGTGCTACTGAACTGTCTGTCTGTCTGCTTTCGACATAGAATTTTGCACCGATGTGCAACAGTTCAAGTCGCCACACTCCATGTAGAACACAAAGCAAGAGAAGAAAGTAGAAATGCATAGTAGAGATAGTAAACAGAGGTGCGAGACAAAGGAATAGTAATATCGAAGAACAATATAATTTTATTCAGCATTACAAGTCACAAGGAGTGGATGCATCTGCACCACCACTGAGAACGATTTTGAGCCATATCACCAATTGTTTCCAACCATTGGTTTTTACTGTCATTCCGAGGACCCCAACCAGGAAGTCTATACCTTCCTATGTGTCTGGCTTAAACTAACTGTTGTAGATTTCATTGACTGGTGCCATGTTTTGGTTTGACCACCGCCAGCTCTTTTCCAGTCTGACCCTATGTCAGCTAGCATTGCTTGTTATCGCAGAAGGCGACGGCTAGGCATACGCAACACATGTCCTAACCATCTCACAAAAACGGTGTAACTTCACAACCTTGTCGATTGATTTCCCCTCCTTACCTAGCACTCTAAACCCTCACTAGTCAGTTATAAGCGTGTAAAAAAAAGGGAACATTTAATGTGAAGTCCCGTGAAACCAAAACAACCACTACTGAAACTTCAAACCTCGAAGCTACGCGTTTGACTCGGGGACTGCAGAACGAATGGGGGAGAAACTAAACAAAAAAAAAACAATATTGTGCTTACCTTGTCCCGTAATTTCGTTCAAAATAAGCAGCTCGTAACCAAATACTCTTCTTTTTCGGAAAGTGTGCCAATGCTACGGCGTAAATAGCACGAGCACATTCAATTGCTCCATTAGCAGCACAATTCTCTGCGTCTGATAACCATGTGTGCTTTTTATCTTGTTCTTCTAAACCGTATCCTATTATCGCTTTACTAACAAAACAATTCAATAAGAAAAAAAGTAATTCGATGAATAAAAGACTGACGCACATGCGCATAAAGACTTAACGCATATATATAAATAAATTATGCACCGTGAGGGGGTGATGACTAACGGACTCAACCAACCAATGTAGAACAGTCCACAGAAGCGTTTCAGATCAAGTCTCTACACTTCAGGAAAGCAATGCTGTGTCGCACAATGTTGAATTTCAGATTAGTACATATTATGCATTCTCTACTGAGTGGCACAGGTGCGAGTTCCACAGGGAACACGAGTGTCCTTAAGACCACTTTACGAATAAAAAAAAAGCCTTTCGCTTACGGTTTTTCGGAAGTTGACTTCTACCAACGGATCACTGACCCAATACATTCGTATATATATATATATATATATATATATATATATATATGCTTAAGATAAAATCCAGTTGTCTAAGTCGATATAGCAGGAGCAAGTTTAAAATTCACATCTAGTTTATGAAAGCTGAATGCCTAAACAAGTGATATAGGGGAATTTACATAAAACAATTAAAGCAAAATTATTTAGTTAGTCCCAGAGACTGTTCAAGATTTGAAGTAACCAACTTGATGTTCTTGCTCACAACAAAAGCATAACCTCATTTTATTCCGCTTACACAAAATACATACTAAAATTTTAGAGTAGCGTGCGACAAACAGAGGCCTGCTTAAACTATGCGCCACTGAAAAACCTCCATCCAATTTCTCGTGTTCGCTCGTCCCGCTAAACTTAATAAAAAAACATCATGATGGATGACAACGTGTCCCGACACACCAAATGACTGTTACCGAGATTATGAGTAAAAAATGTCACTCGCTGTCTAATAAAATCCAACTGCCTAAAATCTGACCCGTCTTCCAATGTATATCGAAATGCGGGAGTGATAACTCCTTAGAAAACTTGCCCCCATTATCTATATGCTCATAATGTAGTCTGTTTAAATAGTTTCAGACATCCAATATACAAGATAAGAGTAAATCTAAAGAGAAATGTGGCAGCGACATCGCAACCTTTATCAATCCTCAGTGGTCTACTTCCAATAATGTAATGCTTCAAATTCTCAAGTGACAAAATCGATTGTATCACCATTAAATGTAGTCCAAAACATATGTGTTTGTTTGTTTGTTTTCTCTCTTCTTACATGACTTGACCTTATCCTGATGAGACCAATTTTGTTATGCATATAAATAAACAGACTGTTTCCATGCCAGTTACTTCTGAATCAGACGCATCCAAAATGAACAACTGTGTATCAGAAATCAGTCAGTGGTCTTCATCGAATGGTCTTAAGCTAAATCCCTTCGTATGTCAGATTATTAATTTCACTTTAGGAAACAACCATGGACAGCATCGTATGTACCATAGAGGGCAGGTGGAGTTGAAACTATACCGAATATGAAATCCCTTGGATTATATCTTTCCTCTGATCTTTTCGGTCTTCCAACACATGCTGGTGTCTAGAAAGACATTTTGTTTAATCTTCTACGTAAGAAAGTTAAGACGATCTGGTATCACTCAATTACTACTTTGACAGTTTGTTAATTCTTGTATTTTATCTATTCTCCTTTATTTCTCTGCGTTAATTTTTCCTGGGCCACGTAACAATGGCTTTGTTACAGTGCAAACGGTATTCAAAGTTGTCGATACAGCAAGTGGCGTGCGTGTCACTAAGCCAACTCGTTAATAACCATTGTAAACAGACACTTGAACTGATGTGCAAGCGAATACTATCTTGTCGGAATCTGAGTATTGTCTCTACCAAAAAAACTCTCTCCATGCTGCATTTCATCAGGTAGAAATGGAAGAGGCAACACTATAGAAGACTTTATGCTCGGACGGCTATAAATACAAAATCCCTACAAAATACCTTATTTAGCCCACATTTTATGCGATGAGCAAGTGTTGGGGGCATGAACCTATTGGCTGGCTTACAGAGAAACAGCAAGTATTTCATTCTTTGTATCATTAATTTATTTTTGTCACTATTTCTATTAATTTATAGTTTTATATTTACATTTTTATTAGCATTATTGCAAATATGTAAATGTTCTGATGAGTACCAACTAGAACGAAAGCTAGGTCAGACAAGACTTCCTGCCGATCACTTCCAACCATCTAAAATATCAACAATTCACAGTGCAGTACATAGTAACAACGAGCCACCTAGCATAGTGGTCGCAATGCATACTTGACTGACTAGTAGAATTCAGTCTGCACTAAAGCTAGGGGGCTAGACACATTACACTAGTTACTAGCTACAGCCCTACAGGAGGTCAATGGCAAGTCCGAATGGCTTAATTGTTACGTCTTTGACTGCTGCACTGAGTGATGCGGGTTCGAATCTGAGAAAAAAGACATGAGAGTTCCTTCAAGGTGATTGCAGATACGCCTTCTTGCTGACGAGTGTGAACTTGCATGAAAACTAGGTCCACAACACTTCTTCGTGCCTCCAACTGCCTCCAACCATCTAATTACTCTTCCCTTTATTATGTGATGTAAAGAAAAAAATTAGGCATGAACGTGTACTAACATGCTAAAAATTCCACCCTGTATTAAACGTACTTTTTGGAATAAAATCACTATTATTATTATTATTATTATTATTATTATTATATACATGCAAGTGTTAATTAGTATTACATGTTTCTGCTAACACTGGGACTCGCAGGATGTTAAAATATAAACTCATCCCTTTGGAGTCGCAACAGGATTTCTAATCCTCTACTATGATTCCCAACGATTGTCCCAACGATAGTAAAATCCTCAGAACATCAGTGTCAGCTCACTCAAATCTAACGATTTGATTGTATTCCATGAGATATTGCTTATATTATTTCTTCTTTACAATCTGAGTAGGACATACAGTTTCAGCTGCACATTCCCCCCGCCCCCCCCCATTTCACTCTTCTCTCTACAACCACTTTCAATTGGTTCCACAACTGCCCAGAAGCTTTCTCTTCCAATCACCTTTTCATTTCACTTCCCTACGTCTAGTCTAGCCCATCTCTTTCCTTTTGGATCTTTTTTTTTGAAGCCCTGTTAGGTGATTCAAGTTCACGTAACCTTAGAGTATCTCTCCAATCCACCTGCATGTCCCTTTGTATATATATATATATCGAGCAATACGTCCTTTACTGGTTTGCTACCGCCTGTCAGAGTTCCCCGTTGCTTATTCTTTCTGGCCAGATTTCTGATCTTTAGTATCCAGTGACGAAAGTTGTCGGTAAAAATCTGCAGAAAACTGTTGGAGGTGCTTTTTGTAATGTGCACGCTAAGTGTGTATGTGTGTGTGTATATAATCCATATAGAAGTACTGACTTCATACATTAGTATTCAATATTTGGATTTTGTTTCTTGAGCTAAATACTAGATCTATGCATTGGTATCAAAGTATTCCAGGATAAGATGAAATCTTCACTGAAGGCCACACGACCGTTAATCCAAGCAAAACGCAAATCTGATGTCATTTTTGATATAAGGATAAGAGTGAACATAACTTGATCCAACCCCCGCCCCTTCCAATATGAATCTAACAATTTTGACACGCTACGATGTATGCTATGGAAGAAACGCTAAGATAATCAATCAACTTGAAAACATTCATGCAGAACAAATGAAACATTTTGAAGACAATCCGATATGAATAAACAACAACTTACATAATTGCTTGCGCAGTGAGAATACTTTTTCCTTTCTCACATTCCTCAGCATCTTTAATCCACTGATCACGATTAATTTCAACCATATTGGCGTGCAAGGATGCAACACCACGATCAACAATTTTCTGTATCATTCCAAGATTACCCTGAGCTTCTTCTAAACGAGTAGCTGCAAACCAAATCTGTCTATCTGTGGGTATACTTTCACGAGCTTTATTCAACACAACTCTGGCTTGTTCATAGGTTTCTAAACGTGCCAAAGCCAGCCATAATTCAACTGATGTTGGACAACATTCAACAGCTAATGTTAGCATAAGTCGAGCATCATCTTCATCCTCTAATTCAACAGCTAACTTCCATAATCTAACTGAATTGGGAACCTGTTCCAGTGCTATATCGAAAAGCCACAATAACAAAAATGATAAATCAATTATTTTCAAGATTATGCTTTAAAAAGTAGAATGTATCATTTGAAGAAAACTCCTACATATACAGAAAAACAAAACATTTCTGTTTTCCTGCACATTGTAAGTCGTCGGGTTCAATGGTAGAATGCTCAACAACCACGTACACGTAGTCTCGATCCTATTTCCGGTCGATACACCACTAGTGAACCTTGTTTAGCAGATAGTAAGCCCGGAAAAGAATGTAGGGTTGAGTGTTCAGCTAGCAACACGTCTCTATAAAAACAACATCGTTTAAAGCCCCAATGTTCCAATCAGAGAGAGCAAATGAACAGGGAAAACACATTGATGAAAATTAGTCACCAGTGAAAAACAAAACATGTAGTTCAGCGAAGAGTCTCTTTTCGGCGGCGAATTCATTCACTTAGCTGTACAATCGGAATTAAAATAATCATTTTTGTATGTGTAATACACTAGCTTTGTCAGACAAGAATAAAAATTAGTGTTAGGGATGTTGATTGTGTGTCATTACAAGATTTTAGAAAATGCGATGAATAATCAAATTGTAACTAGGAGGTGAAGATTATAATAGTGTTGATGATAAGTTGTGAAAAAATAGTTGTCAGTGTTAGCCAATGCATGAAAGAAGTTGAGTAAATGTATTATAGTTGCGTAATACGATGGATAATGAATTCTGACTAGGATGTACATAGAAATGAACGAAAATATGGAATTATGTAAGAGTTGTACAGAAATATGAAACAGGCAAACAAACATCAAGTCAGTACGGTTGTCGCCATGGCGATGGTAGAAGTGGTTGGATGATTTTCTTTTGTATACACAACTCTGGCTTTCCCAACTGAATGGGTGAGGCTTCAACAATACAAAGGAAACGAAAGCGTATTGCCTTTGGTAGGTTATTCTTGACTCTGTATATTACTTTGGAGGGAGGATTTGTTGAAATGGAATGGTTGGTGTTGACAAGGTATTCAATGATCACACTCCTTGTAGAACCACCATTATCTTTTCTGCAGCCATGCGAGATAGTGTTCTCGAATCCTTTTGGACAGGATGTGCATCGAACAACCAGTGTACTTGGCTCCGCAGCAACAGGTCAACAATTTCCATAGGAATGTACTGAAACGTGCTCTTTTTAAAATTTTATCCGTTTGTGTTTCTAGTGAAACACCGGGTTACAAGCTTTGAGTTTTACAGTTTTAGAACCAATGGTGTTATTCTTTTTACACTACGGAGTTGTTAATCTTACACTAAACCCTGTGTCTTTATACGGTTTAATACCCGCTAAGCCAGGTTTAGGCGTGTGTCCTCCGGGACTCGCTGCTCGGATCACTTGCGCGGTTGGCAAGCATTCTACCACTGAACCACCGACGCGCTTAAATGTACATTAGGACTGTTTTCCCTACAAAGGATGCATAACATCTACATTACACAAAGTCATTCGGCTATATGTTAGCAGTGTTTTTAGTTGGAACACACATCAACTGTTATAACTGAGCTCTTACTCATGAGTATAGGCAATGATTAAGTGAATATTTTGTATACCTCATATTGCTCCCCACTTGATTCAAAATTAACCTCACCTAGTTTACTAACCAGTTCCCACCCTGGCCCTGGAAAAGAGGAAGGGTTGAGTGTGGAGTTACCGACCCTACCCCGGGAAATCAAACAACCTGCTACACAGAAACTTTAGCGCCCAAGAAAAATAGTAAAAATATAAGAAACAAACTTATTTTTCGCTGAAATCGAAGAGAAGAAATGACCCAGCGGGTCGGTGAAAACCTTCGGGAAGTCAGTCAGATGTTTCCTCTTAATGAAAGCAACAATAAAAGTGGGGATGTGGCAGCTGGGAAGGCTGCCCAGGTGGCCAAGGAAATGAGGTATGCTATAGAAGTGCTTGGAATATCCGAAAGCAAATGGAATGGATGTTGAGTGTTAAAATTGTCAACTGGTGAACCAGTTAGCTAGTCTGGTGATCCCCTCAGATGACAACCACGAGGGCAATGATATCACCAGAGGCAGCCGCAGCTCTAATATAGAGGGGACCAATCTCCTCCGGGATTATGATAGCAAGATTCAACTCAAAAGGAGGGAAGGTTACAACTATCTAATGCTACGCGCCTACAAACAACGAGGAACAAGAGAAGGAAGACTTTTATAGACAACTGTAAACAGTAGAGGGAAACATTTCAAATGGAGACATTAAAATTCCTAAGGGCGACATGAATGCTAGAAGGGAGTCAGACAATACAGGAAGAGAACTCATCATGGTTCCGGGTCCTGAACGGATACCAGGAAGCTAATCGAAGACAGGACAGCAGGGCGGTGAGAGAGAAGATAACTCAATGCAAACATGGGCAACAGAAGGGGAAGCTAAGTTCAGTGCATGAACTAAAGCAGTGAAAAAGAGTGCTAGGAAAGTCAAAAGACAGTTCTACGACACACTGGCTGGCAGGAACTGAAACAGAACAGGAAGGAAGGCGGCAGGTAAAAGAGACCTAAGGACATTATATCAGATAACCATGTCTCTATCCGAGAAGAAATCAACCCAGATGATGAAATCAACAGAAAATGCTCAAGGAAACCTGATTACCAAGTAAGAGAAACAAAATAAAACAATGAGCTGACCATTTCAAAAGACTGTTCAATCGACCATCACCTGCAACTCGCCCAGAAATACACCACCACTAACAGGAAGCATAAAACTGCAAGTGGACACCAATTCTCCAACGAAAGAACAAATCTTGATTGCAATCAAGCCACTGAAGCCCAGGAAGGCAGCAGGGCCAGACGGAATTTCCGCCGATACACTGAAAACTGACCCAGAGACTGCGATAGATATGCCGACGCCATTATTGCAAAATGTTTGGAAAGAAGGAAGGGGGCCTACCGATTGGAAGAAAGGCTACCTTGTGAAACTACCAGAAAAGGGAGACTTACGTCTCTGCAAAAACTGGTGCGGAATAATGCTGTTGTCCACACCGAGTAAAATACTAGATCGCATCATCCTGAAGAGGATAAAAGATGCACTGGGTGCAGAACTCCGCCAACCAGGACAAGCTGGATTCAGGAAAAGCAAATATGCTGATCAAATTGCAACTCTACGCATCATCATTGAACAAAGCCATAAAATGGCAGTCAAACTTCCACCTCAATTTCATCGACTTCGATGAGACCTTTGACAGACAGCGCTAACTGAGGAGAAATTTGTAAACTGCTTCAACACTACACCATGCAGTGTCAAAATCCTTATCAATCTCATTCAACCACAGTTATATGACAATGTTACGTGTCAGGTGATCCACAGCAGAAAACTTAGGGAAGCCTTTGAAGTGAATACTGGAGTAAGACAATCTGTCTATTATCACCAATGATATTCTTAACTGTAACGAACTGGATTATGCGTCAAATCGTGCGTGGGAAGCGATAAGACAGGAATACACTGGACCGACTAGAAGACTCTAGAAGATCTGGATTTCGCGTGTGGGTGATTTATGTTTAGTGTCACACAAACCCGAAGACTTAGAGGCAGGAGAAAAACAACAAAACCGGCTGAAGAAGCAACGAAGACAGGATACCAGATGAACGTAGAGAAGACGGAAGTGATCAAGATAACTAACTAACTAACAGCAATCACTATCAACAGGAGAAATTTGAAAGAGGTTACTTCCTTCACTTTTCTAGACGGCATCTTATCATCAACTATAGGCGGAACGGATGAGGATATCAACGCCAGTCAGATTCGGAAAGGCAAGGTACACCATTATTAATCTGAAATCAGTGCGGAAATCTGCACTCGGTATATAAAGAACAAGATTCGAATTTTCAACACAATAAGTATAAGTGGGTCAGGAAACAAATGATTATCAGAGCAGAACTGTAGGAGACGGTCACCGTTGTCGGTTCGCTGGCACGGAGCTCCATAGGTACCACCGACATCCTTCTCAGATTGACGCAATTTCCCTACTTGAGCATTAAAGTCACCAGCTAGAACGACTATGTCTGAGCGTTTAGCCTTTCGCAGAAAACTAGACAGCTTTTGGTAGAACTCATCCTTCGTTTCATCTGAACTGCAGTTAGTGGGGGCGTAGGCGGAGATTACGAAAAGGCATCGGCGAGTAGTGCAGTCCTTCCTCCTTCTTACTGACCCGTTCAGGCGGACAGCACACATTCGGCTATCTACCGGGATCCAGTCAAGCAATGTCTTTTCTGCCCTAGTACTCAAAGCTATCCCTACACCAGCTAATCCTCGAGAACTAGCTGTGGCATCTCCTGACACCCTCAAGGTGAATTTCGCAGATTCAACCTGTTGGCCAGCTGGGGTTAGGTGAATAACCACACTTGGGTCTTGTATGCGTGTTTCTGAAATACAACATACATCAATGGCTCGGGAGGCCAGAGTCTTGGTTAGTGATGCTTGTTGTCCTATTTGGCAAAGTGTCCTAACATTAATTGCATCTATATGAAATTGGTGGCGTGGCTTTAGGAAACTATCGGTAGTGGCTGTTCGGCTTCCGTCGTTTTTAGTGAACGCAGAGTGGAGAGGAAGTGAAGAGCTATCAAGCAGAGCAGTTGCATCAGTGGAAGGGAGGCAAGATGATAGAGATGAAGATGACGAAAAAGATGACTGAGTATTAGAAAGGTTTCCTGTGCATTTCGGATTGTGAGGGCGACTGTTACTTCCCGGCTGCCCACACCGTGGAAGTTGGTTGCGTGACTGCAGAGCCCAGGGGACAACTGCTTGAGGCCGGTCACACGCGGCCTGCTTTTCTTTGTTCGTTATTGTTTGGTGTGTCTCAGTAGCATATTTATCACTTCTGCCCTGTGACACGGCAGCAGGAAGCGCGGTCGTTGTTAATCCGGGCCACGGCCGATCCGGCATGAAATTTTGTGATTTTGTATTGGACATGATGTTGGATTGGGTAGCTGCTTTTTGTTTAACCGCTATCCAAACAACCTGCCTGGCATGGTAGAACCTCAAGAGACATAAGTCTCAGCCAGTATAGCTTGAATAGATCATTGCGGTGTTCAAGCCCGACCACCACGTCAAGATAGCAGCTTTCGGTCGGGATAAGTGGGTGAGAAACTTGGAGGCGTTACAAAAAGCATTTCCAGCAGGCTACTGCCAAAACTTTTATCAACAGTTGACTTCACTGACTCCATACTGAAGATTAAAATGACCAGCTAGAAAGAATTAGCAACAAGAAACTCCGGCAACTAGCCAACTAAGAGCTAACTGCTCAACAAATATACAGAAGAAAAAGGAGACGTATTGGACATACGCTGAGGAGGCCGTCGGATAGAATTCGAAAGGGGAAACAACTAGTGGGTCGTCCAAGGGTGAAATGGAGATCATGAGAGGAGGAGGAGGATGAGATGAGAGATTACGGACAGTTGTGGATCCAGGCTGAAGAGGAAAGCACCAAAAAGCACAAAGTGGAGATGTGTTGTTGAAGCCCTTTGTTCCGCTCGGAACCCAAGGGAACAATAATAATGATTCAAACTTATGTCTGCCTTGCAATAACTCAGGATAATTAACGTAAAATAAGGTAAACCCATAAAACAGTAAGCTTATTAAAATGTTGGTATTGTTACTATACAAATACAAAAAAAATACAGCTAACCTTTTTTGTATACCACTTTTTTAGATTTATGCTCAGTTTCCAAGTCGGCAGCTTTAACCCATAGTCGAACTGATTGTGGTAAATGACGTATAGCCTGGGCCACAACGGATTTCGCTTGTTCAGGTGGTACAAGCCTTGCCGCTTCAAGCCAAATATCTTCTGATTTTGGGCATTCTTCACAACCGCTAAGAATTAAATTGCGAGCCACCTTGATTTGACAAGAAAAATACCGAATACACCATGGTATGTAAATACGCATGCATAGATAGAAGGAAAGGAATTTCTAGAACTAGTACAGTTTCTATACACACTTAAGAATGATACCAAAACACTGTGGAGAACACTGTGGTTAAGAGATGAGAAAGACGCCAAACATTAGGCAACTCCCTGCGTGACTCAAACTAACTATCAAGGATCTCTTACACTGATTCCAAGTGGAGTCTTGATCACCACCAGCTATTCTCCAACCTCATCACCCATCCTATGTCACCTGACATCAACCGTCGAAAAAGGTGATGGATAGACATACGTATCACATGTCCTAACCACCTCAATCGACTCACCTTTATATCCCCAACAATTGACTCTCTCTCTCTCCTTACCTAACCACTCAACGCAAAACATCAATATTACTCATCCTACTAAACCAACTAACACGGGAAGTAGAATCCAGACACCTATAGTCAAAATGATAGCTCACCTTTCCATTTCTCCCACTCTCAATCCACTGTCTCACGGCCGTTAATGTGGACGAAGCGAATTGGTGAGCAGTACATCCGTCCTTCCATCGAAAGTCGGATATCACGTGTGCATCAGAGATGGCGTTACCTGGCAAATACTACACGATCCTTTTGTGTATGTACTCAGATTTCGCCAGCGATCAACTTCCTCAATAATTGAAGTGATCAACACGCTCCACCACTTCACTCTATACCTATCTTCAATCTAGGAACGGGTCGATGTAGTCCAGTCTTACAGCCTCATCATCTTACACTTGACAGGGGTAAATTGCATCCCAAACATTCGAAAACTGCTGCTCCTCAACGTATTCATAAGACTCTGTATTTCGTCAGCGTCTTCACTTAGGAGGGAGGACTATATCATCTGCATATTCTTAGTCAACGAGATTATTCCCTTGTAGGTAACAAGTCAATCCCTGAGTCGCTGAAGTCAGTTAGGGTTAAGTCCCTTAGTACATCTATGCTGAAATTGAACAAAAATGGAGACAGTAGGCATTCCTGGGCTATTTACAACAATCTCTTCACACTTATGAAACATACAGATACATATATATATGCCCGTTTTATATATGAATGGCTCAAATGTTCCTCCCTGTCGTAAGAAGACATTACAGATAAAAATGCCGAATTCCTAGTTGACAGGTCTCAGTAGCAGAACTCTACCACTACAACACTTTTGTAACTATATTCTCAAAGCCATCAATGTAACACTGTTGACTCTTTTTTAATACATGTCACATTTGCTTACATGCCGAATAGGCTTAAAAATGATTAGACTTTTGTTAAACTAACCTGTAGTTTACCAGCTATTTCTTCTAATCGAGCGGATGCGATCCAAGCAGGAGCGTGTTTTGGATTAGTTTCACGCACTGATTTCAATAACAGTCTAGCCTTCTTCATATCATTTATATCACCACCATGTTGAGGAATCATCGACTGTAGATCTGTCAAATAGCCCTTGGGATCGACAACAGTCTGTCCGGATACGCTATCAGAAACCTAATCACATGATAAAAATGAGGAACGTGTTATGCAAAGGAAAGTCAACAAGGAGTTTCGAATATATATATATATAAATATATACATATATATGTGCAAAAATTATCACTGTCTGCTACATTTAACGCAAATCATCAGTTTTTTTCCTTCACGTTTCCCAGTGGAACATAGGGCTTTAAGCTAGTGGCTTGGAGTTTATTCTACAGGATGGGGTTGCTAGCCTCAGCTGGCCCAACCTTTCCTCTTTACCAGCATTATTTCTCGCTTAGCGAAGTAAAGGAGTGCGTCGGTGGCCGGGTATCGAATCCCGGACCATGTGCATGGTCGGTGGGCGTCCTAACCACTATGCTAGATGTTCATAAATTCTTAAATGTTCAATAAATTAAAAAGTTCATAGGCAATCTCTACATTTCCCTGAGTTACTTAGACTAACATTTAAATACTCCACAGATCGCTTTCATTTTCTCCAACCTAATTCTATGTCGACAAGGTAAAGTGGTTCATTTTGACATACAGACACGGTGGGTGTGTATTGTGACAGTGACGTGAATTTATTCTGATAGTGACATTTAAAGCCATGTATGTTAAAATATACTGTAAACATCAACAACGGAAATCATTTGAATCTATCTAGTCAGAATAGGATATTTTTGTGCTTGACTCTACGGTTAAATAAACCTTCCAAGATGAATATCTCACAAGATTGAAGATTAGAACAAAACAGAAAAAAGGTGTACATATTACTACTAGAAATTAATGTTAATGATAGTGTTGGAAACCAATTAGACTTTTCAATAATGCTTACTGAAGAAACTTTGTTGTCATCATTAATGAAAAGAATTAAAATTTATCTCTAATCACAAAAACTAAGTTACCTGTGTTAACTTGATGTCCATTAGAGATGTACGTGCTTCACCAATTTTTTTCATATCAATATCCATCTGAGCTGATTGTGATGTGAACGGTGTAGTTAAACCGCCTAAACTTTGTTCTACTGCATCCACAGAAACATTCGTCTAGACAAAGAGAGGAAACAAGAGTATGTGATTATATCAATTTTAATGGATTTACCTGACCCTCAGTTAAGCCTTTTGCAATAATGCTATCCGGGATTGGAGTAAAACGTTCATATCTTGGATTTCTTTGTCGTTTGTTTCGTGCATCTCCAACCTCTGGTAAAGCATTCCATTCACTTTCTGAAACACTAGCTAAATCTCGTTTTAAATCCATAAATTGTTGTTGAATTTTTGGTCTTTCTCGTCGATACTTTTCAATCTCTTCTCGAAAACGTTTCTCTCGATAGTCACGTCTTCTTTCATCCATCCTGTCGTCAATAGAAGCATAAATGGCATCCGCTTCTTGATCATCTTTTTCATAAGGATCTTTAGCGCACAAACTACCACCATAACCTGTAAACTGGATATAAGAATAACGAGAGAAAAAAAAACAATTTGAGAAGTAAACACCACATATGTAATATGTGAAATGGAAAATTCATTTCTGACAAGTATGCCTAGAACGCATAGCATACAGCTTAATAAACAGCAAAGTTAATAAATCCTAGTGATATGTTGATAATATAGGCGAAATGAATAAAGATTAACAAATGAGCCTGAGAATTAGTGCTACTATCCCCGAAAACTTAAACATCCGCTATATGGAATAGGATAAAATAATGCTGGAGTGCACACCTTTGATTGGTTTGAAAAGCAACAAACAGTATTGACAGTAATGTTGAGGATGTGACACAGTTGGTCGAATCGCCACTCTAACCCACTCAGCCAACAGGTTGAGACTCGAAATACACCTGCACCTACCAAGAGAATTAGGCAGGTAAATAATATCCCAAAACATGTGTGGCTTATTATGTACATATAAATAACTACACAACATGAGTTGCTACATACGTGGTACTTAATGTGAAAGAAAACAAAAAAGAAAAGTAATACACTATCTGAAAGTTGGATTAAAATGCATTTAGTCTGCTGAAGTGCATTATTCCCTATTAATGCCTACGTGATTCGTCATAAACTTTGACGAGTGTATTGAAGAATACGTTGGACAAAGCAATAAAAACACATTGAGCAGAAAATCACTGATCAATTGTTAATTTTCCCAGTGCCTTCTCAACAAACTGCTTACACTGTTGGACCCCAGTTAGGAAGTCACGGTATTTAGATGAATCGAAATGTTAGTTATATAAGTAAAGCATAATGAATCGCTGTAACCATATATTTAATGCGATAGGCTTCTCGAGAAAAACAAGACACAAGTAGTTACAAGATGTGGGGGGGCAAATATCACAAAATTTCGCACATCATTAGAAATTATCAAATATACAAAAAATATTGTTATTCAAGCTCATCAGACATTAGAATCACGACGGAGTAACTGAGTACGAGGGAAAAGAAATTAATGTTCACAATTTACAAAAAATGATATAATCAATTCGCGGTCAAGATCCCAGTTACCGAGGTAGAGAAAGACTTACTACGGCTTTTATTGATTGCATAAATTAAGTCTTAACTGTCTGATAGAGAAGGGCTTTTGCGAACTCCTGGAGACTCGACTTGACTCGTTTGTATGTTGTCTTGAAAGACACCAAGGGTTTGTGCAATATCTTTTTTCGGCTACCCGTACCTAATCCTATGTCACTTCTATGAGAACAGTGGTGGCTAGGCTATTGTGATACATGTTCTATCCACCTGAATCTGTCCGTCATTACGTAGTCATCGATTGACTTTCCTTCACCATATAATACTTTGCACCTAATCCCAATTGCACTTACCATACAAAACCAGCTGGCACGAAGAGTTGAACGGCCACATCCTGCAGGCATGAAGACGAACAGAGCGAAATGGATGGTGCACATGTCGTTTGATGTATAATCGGATATGGTGTCTTCACGAAAGGTGATGCAAGTTGGCAAATACTAAACGTGTTTTTCGTATCCACGTTCAAATTTCATCAGCAACCAGACTATGACAACTGGTGCAACTTTCCAAATAAATGAAGTGGTCAAGGTACCTAATCATTTTACTCACTTTCCTAAAACAAGGAGTTAGTGCACCATCCAATATCTTACAAGATTATATCGTGTGAGGAACAGTAATATTTCTCACAATTTTCAATACTGCATTTTATCAGCGTCATTAATTAGAACTATTATCAGCTGTATACTCAAGATCGGAAATACCATTCAATTAGTTTGTAAGCCAACCCATAAAACGTGAAAGTCGGTATGGTCACCTTCATCAGTACATCTATAACTGAATTAAATAAAAGCCATGCCACTGGTCATCCTAACCGTATCGATCGTGTTATTTAAATAAGAAATACAAAATATTCCTGTGTATAAAGATGAAGCTGGAATTTCGTTTTCCACTGATTCATTTTATGAAAACTAAGTGACTCGCATTTCCTTAGGACATATTTTTTCCAAACTGGACAGCAAACAGAAAATAGAACTCAGTGAACATGTATGCATTGGTGCACTAAACACCATACTAGTTAGTGTGAGGGTTGTTAGTATGATGCGGTTGCCCAGTTGATGGTAGGTTGAAGCGAAATCGGGAATGCAGGTCTGAAATACATTAAAACTTTGTTTGCGTTAATAAGATTTTTCTTATTACGCAAGTCAGCACAACTCTGAAAAATATTTTACAGTCAGTCACTTCTTACTTCATCATAATTTGAATCATTAAGATCCTCCTCTTCCTCTTCTTGCTCTTTACGGCGTTTGGAAGGAGCGACATGTCGCTCGTCTGAAACATCAGTAGCCTCACGAGCTGGACCAATATCAGATCTTGTGGTGAATGCAACAGCACCACGTCCTATGCCAGCAGCATATCCCAAAGGAGCAGGCAGTCCAATAAATTCCTTGCGTTTCTTAGTTACTAAAGCTTGAATTGACATTGTGATCAGTATTGTACAATCTATCATACAAGGAGTAAATCGAAGTGTTATGAGACTGGAACACAAATCATAAAACACTTTAAAAGTAAATCAACAGAACCCAACTAAGTTATTTTAACAAGGAACATGGAAAGTAAACTAGCAACTCAATGCCCCAGCATAAGTAAACTACAAGTTTCACACATGGCGTTTATGTATGATTTACCCAGGATTCATAAATCACGTGTAGCTTTGAGACCGATAATGTCACAGATGAAATCACCATACCATAAACTAGATAGATGGTCGGAGCAAAAGTTGGAACCAATTCAAATTCGGCAGTTTGGTGTCGAAGATTCATTTAGACAGTCAAATGAACCGGACCAGTGGAATATTTCGGACAATATCCTAGTATCATATGGTGTTTGTTCATTATTTACAAGCACATCGATTAAAGAAACAGCGAAAACGAAAGACTAGAAGTCTGAATTACTTTCTCCTACTGAAAATGAGTGGAGGAAATCATCGCTGCTTTGTACAAAGGATGTTCAGTTACAATTCAATAACCAACAATGCAGACAAATTAATGTTGTGACTATACATCCGCCTTTGGGCCGTTATTGTGGACGTATTCTGTCTGTCTGTTTGTTTTCGACATAGAACTTTACACAAATGTGCGGAAGTTCAAGTCGCCACACTCCGTGTAGCACGCGAAGCAAGAGAAGTACAAGAAAAGCATAATAGAAACAGTGAGCAGAGGTGTGAGACAAAGGAGTAATAACGAAGAACAAAACAGTTTTATTGGAGATCATAAGTCACAAGGAGTGGATGTATCTACGCCACTGAGAACGATTTTGAACCATGTCACCAATTGTTTCCAACCGTTTGTTTTTACCGTCTCGAGGACCCCAACCAGGAAGTCTACACCTTCCTACGTGGCTTAGACTAACTGTTGTAGATTTGATTGACTGGTGCCATGTTTTTGTTTGACTTCCGCTAGCTTTTTTCCAGCCTGACCATATATCCGCTAACATTGCTCGTCGAGGAAGGCGATGACTAGGGATGCGTAACGCATATCCTAACCATCTCAGTCTTTGTAACTTCACAACTTCGTCGATTGATTTCCCCTGTTTACCTAGAATTTGACGCCTAACCTCAATAATGCTCACCTTATTATGCCACTTCACACGGGGGATAGAACCCAGTCACCTATGATCAAAGACAGCTAGTGTTTTCATGTCTTCCACTCTCAGTGGCCAGGTCTCACAGCCGGCAATAAAGGAGGACGGAGCGGACTGATGAGCACTACACCCGCCCTTTGGTCGATAGTCGAATATCTCGTCTGCTAAGCCAGAGACGGCGTAAACTGCAGGCATATGCGAAACTAGCCCTCTGTATCCGTGCTGAGATTTCGTCAAAGATCAACCCGTTGGGGCTGATGGTACTTCCCAAGTAAGTGAAGCGGTCAACGTGCTCTACCACTTCACTTCCTATTTTTAAACTAGGAGTCGATGTAGTCCAGTCCTGTAACATCATCTTACATTTGGCGGGAGCGAATTGAATGCCAAACATTCGTAGATTGCAGCTCAAGGTGTTCAGAAGACTCTGCATTTCGTCAGCGTCTTCGCCTAGAAGGACTATATCGTCTGCATATTCTAAGTCAACGAGATTATTCCCTGGTGGTAGCAAGTCAATCCCCGAGTCGCTGAAGTCACTAGGGTTAACTCCATTAGTACATCTATGATGAATTTGAACAGAAAAGGGGATAATGGGCATCCTTGACGGACGCCACTAGTCGTCACCAGTTCAGATGACAGCTCGCCGTAAGCCCTCACTTGGCTGATGGCATGAGTACGAGTAGAGTGCCTTAATCAGTGCAATGTATTTTCTCAGCACTTCCTTTACGGCCAAGAATCGCCAAAGAATCTATCGGTCGACACAATCAAATGCCATCTTTAGGTCAAGAAATATAATGATTGTTGGACGCCGATAGGAATTCCTATGTTCTAGAATCTCTCGGAGGGTGAAGATATGATCAATACACCCACTTTCTGGTCTAAAGCCTGTCTGGCTCTCTCGTGTTTGTGCCTCCCGAGCACCACTTAGTCTACGCATAATTATTGAGCCTAGGACTTCAGATACTATATTAGTCAAGCTAATCCCTCTGTGATTATCACAGGAAGGCTTGTCTCTCTTCTTGTATATCGGGATAATCAGTGACTTACACCAACTCGATGGGACTTCCTCTGATTCCCAGACGCTGCCTAGTACCTCAGTTAATGCAGACAGTAAACTGTCTCCACCGTACTTAAATACCTCTGGAGTCATTCCATCAGGTCCCGCTGCTTTGCCTAATTTCAGATTGGTGACAGCCTTAGTAACCTCAGTTAGGGATGGAGGACCTGTGTCTATATCCCATTCAGGGAGGTGGACGTATTCATGAACCCATTTGAGCAGTAACAACTGAGATGAGAAATAGAGAAAACCATATCACTTCAGGTATGCTGACATACATTCGTTGTTTGCACTAAAATTGATCATAAATCAACCGCGTTTGAAAAATCCAACGTAGCTCATTCTCATATTACGTTTACAACAACTAGTTAAAATGTCCCATAAGTACAGTCTAGTAACAATTCTGGTAGCCCGCACAAGGTTCACAGTCAATGTAGAATATAAAATTCTCATGCGTGAATCATATTTTAATCGTTATACCTTGAAAACGTACACAATTACGGAACAAACTATTAAGCTGTACCAGAAAAACACAGAACCAGGGAAAACATAATTAAATGAAGACTAACGAAGCCTTTCACAATCTCGAAATTGACAAAATCAAAATTATTTGGGCAATTGTGAGTGGAGCTAAACCATACCATAAGCTTAAACCACTGATTTTCAGCATCTCTAGGTCAACAAGCAAACAGTACCTGAATTCGCCTTACCCACTTTCAGGCCTTTGTACTTCTACCAATCAAACGTAACATTCCTCGTTGTTATCCACGTCTGATTCCTGACTTGTAATTATATATTACTCATTTATACAAGGCGATTAAAATAGGTCAAATCTCCAATATATAGAAAACTAATCGACATACTAAATGATCAGGCAGTGCCCCAAAAAGTAAACTATGTCTCTTCAAAGGTAAAAACCATTATAGGATGAATTCTCGAAGAACAGTTCCGATGCTTGAGGTGACAATTGGTAATAATTTAGCTGGAAATATTACTAGAACTAAAAAACCTATCAGTATGTGTAAACTATCGAAATATAATCACAATTAATTAGGTCTATACTACAATGCACAAACTTTCCATTAACTGAAAACAGTTATTAAAATGAAAAACTGTAGAATGCCTTAGGTTCACCTGTTTAATATATGATTCAATATCCAATATCGTTTTTACGAGCTATATTGGATATTGGATATTGAATCATATATTAAACAGGTGAACCTAAGGCATTCTACAGTTTTTCATTTTAATCACTGTTTTCAGTTAATGGAAAGTTTGTGCATTGTAGTATAGACCTAATTAATTGTGATTATATTTCGATAGTTTACACATACTGATAGGTTTTTTAGTTCTAGTAATATTTCCAGCTAAATTATTACCAATTGTCACCTCAAGTATCGGAACTGTTCTTCGAGAATTCATCCTATAATGGTTTTTACCTTTGAAGAGACATAGTTTACTTTTTGGGGCACTGCCTGATCATTTAGTATGTCGATTAAGAACATATAATAACAGCATACAATGCGGTACTACATGTCTTGAAATTCTCGTCTTCAGGACGAAATTTTGACACCGCTATAATAAATACACACTCTTTATATGACTACAAACAAATCGACGACGTTCCGCAACGCAAAAAGGGAAAATCAATGCAGCCATGACCACATGGTCATCAGTGATTGAACTCACTATTCACACACTGGTCATATGCTTATATTTTTAACCACACCCAAGTGAGCGCAAAAAATAAATCCGCAGAGATGTTTGAAGTTTATGATAATTCGTTATTTAGCAGGTCCTCAGAACAACAGAAAAACAGCAAGGTTAAGGTCGAACACTGGTTATAGCGTATATCCTCACACACACCCACTACACCACAGAGTTTAATCAAACCGCTTTCAACTTTCAATTTAGACCTCAGATTTAGTTTTCAGACTCTTGAATGAAGGTAGAAGAAGTGAATTCAAAGTTGTTTCACTAATAATATGTTTATCTGCCTGTCAAAACTCTTCTTTGATGAATCATCTGAGGGCTCTGACATCCCTTATTCTGAGAGTCGGTTCCAGAGTTAGTGACCCGATGTGAATAACAGTACTCAGTGGCGCATCCCTTCAGTTTTCGGACTTCCGCCTATAATGATGAAAGCGGTTGATTATAAATGGTTTGCGTGAGTCCTTGCAGTATATATGCGTATAAGGAGGCCCAACTTTACTGTGAATTAGCTGAGAACATTTTATCCGTCACACTACGTGAGAATCTGAATTCGATCCATAATTCATTGGACTACAGAATATACACACCGATGTAGCAATGTCTCACAGGTATTATGCCAACTGACTGTAGTTTAAGGAGATCTCTGAGTAATCATATATATTATATCAGGCATTAAAAAGCACCTCTCCTCCTACAATTTAATAATGAGATGTTAAAAATTTCCCGGTTGTTCTCACCACCATCTGCCTAGACTACTGCCCAACTTATGTACCATTTTCAAGTCTTCAGACTTCTCCAAACATAGACTTGAAGTTTGTAAACGGTATTCAAGATGTGACTCAGCGTATTCTCTTGAGGGCATTTAAAAGCTTTCCAAAACCCTGAAGTATTCGGAAGACCTTCGACGTGGCTGCGTTCTAGTCTTTGACATTTTCTAAATTGTGGCTCACGACAGTTACTGAATTGTTTGTTCTTTGATGTCAACCAATTCTGTTTCCTTCAGTACATCAGCCGAGTTAAATCTCTGGCCTTATACAAATAAGTGAGTAAATAATTTACAATTATATTCGAAAAGCTGACAGTTTCTCTGACGTTAACTGAGTATTTTCTGGAATGATTTTAAAAACTGGGGTTGTAAAACTATTGGATAATTTACATATCCCACTCTGCAAGGTAAACATATTATTTATAGTCCTCTACATAATAGTAAATGACGTTGTGAGTTATACTGATATTTATGTGCAAAACTTTAGGCAGCAACCCTTGAACCGGTAACCATTTGAACCCGTAACTGTTTGGTTGTGTACTTCCCGCGATTGTAGGCATCTGTGCTGTAAATGTCTTTTACTAATGGTTTACTGTCAGTGGAGCGATAGATAATCCGAGTTGCAAGTTTACCTTCTGGTATTTTTGAGTTGGTGAGAGTTCATAGTATCCTGAGTTAAGTCTATTAGTCGTCCGGCAGCATCACCAGCTTCAGGATCAATAGGTTGTGAGTCTTTGAAGCAGGTACATTCACAACTATCATCATTAGAGTCATAAATTTAGACTGTTTCTATACTCCTACTACTTAGTATAGTGAGAGCATGAGATTCGACACTATACTACACGATGAGAGTCCCACACCGCATCAGATTTAGCGTTAGGAATAGATTCATGGTCATAATGGCCAACTAACTGATTTTTCCTTTTATCCTATGAGGTTTCTCAGACGGCTGAACAAAGATGCAAAGGGGTAAATTTTTAGATGACCAACTATCGTATCAAAATGGCAACCCAAATTAGAAACGTATAGCTCTTCTATAGATGGAAGAAAACGGTTGATTTCGAATGGGTACTTCATCAACTCGCTGGTGGCTGAATGAAACTGTGCACCATAGTCAGACAGTATTCAACAGAAAAACAGAACCTTACAAATCGTAAGGTATGTATATTTCCTACCTGACTGATTGTGTTGTCCTCATTCAGCAACAACCTTTTAGTGGGCAAACCGTTTATTTTGTGTTCCACGTCAGAGAGTCTCTAAAATAGAATACGCCTAAATGCCTTTCTAAATGCCACCTGGACTTTCGCAACAGTGTATTCATTGTTGACCTAAGAGTCGACTGAGGCCGCTAACTCCTCACGGTTGATGTATGTCCCCTGAATGTACACACTAAGGAATTAAGTCTTTCGCGGAAAGCCATAAGTTTTAAATGTGAAAGTAACGACTGCGTGATCACTACTGTATAACACTGGTAGACACCGATTATTAGTGTCTCATTCTAGTGAGTAAATACAAAATTCACAATAAAAAGACTAAAGTCAGCGTCGTGCTGTGCTTGCACATGTAAATTTTTTCAAATTAACACACACCTGAAAAGAGTCAGTATAAACCCATCGTTGAAACAGTTATACAAGCCGGCTAAATTCTATTTCTGCTATCCTACTTGATATCAAACATTTTTCTAGAGTTCGATACATATTTACCCTAAGAATAATCTAGTGGGCTGGCAATGAGTACCTCAGCGTGTGACTCCAACCGTCCCAGCATCACCCTATAAGTTAATGTCACTATCTCACAGGCGATACTATCAAAAGTTTCAGACTTCAAAGACTCGAATCCCACCGGGATATATTGGGTCGTTCAAGATCCCTCACATCCAATAACCCCCACGGACCTTCCGCATCGTAAGTGACTGGAGTCCATATTGACGAGTATCCATTATAATTATTTTTACGTCACGTAAGTCTAAATGTAACGTCTGCATTTAAACAAATTCAATATGACTGAAAATAATTTTAATGTCATTTTTACAGAAACTATGAAATATGAAGTATTCTTCTTAGGTTGAATGTCCATATATTTTCACATATTCGATGGTATAAATAATATATTTCCTAGTTAAGACATCAAAAAAGGGCAGCATTGGTGTCAAATGCAAAAGCCGTTGTCCATGTAGTTGAAGATTGAACGATCAATTCATGGTTGTTTGCTCAAAATCAACTTCCCCAATTTTCGCGGAGGCATCAATACGACAGTCATCGTCTCATCGGTCGCTGTTCAGAAAGAAGTCAGCAGCAAACCGTCAGAAGTAACCTTGTGATTTATTATTGTAATATTTGTTCACAGGCCCTAGTAAAAACATTATTTTTATATGTTGGTGTTACAATAAAGAATTCTCGAGTGGCCAATTAGTGTTTTGATTTTTGCGTCCGTTATTACTAAGCGTTTCTGAGAAACTTCAAGGAACAGCGTGAGCCGAGTGCAGCAAGAGCTGGGCATTAACGGTTTACGAGACGTGGCTGACAGTTTCTGATGGTAGAAACAGACTTTGGCGGATTCAGACAGTTGGTGAAAGTTTGGATAGTCACCGTTCATCTTTCCTGGTGCCGGTCAAGTCCTCTTTGAACAAGCAATATCTGGAACGTTTTTGGAATTGGGTCAAGTTCAACAATGCCTGGGTCAAAGAAGGGACAGAGTGTCTTGGATGCAAACAGGAAAGTAAGTCATGGTGACTTGTCTGTTAATTGTAACGATGTGTCTGATGTTAAGCATGACATGGTTGATGTTACTGTTTCGCCGTTCAGGGATAATAGGAACATCAAACACCCTAAATTTGAACCACGGTGTTTCGATGGAAACCCGGCTGATTATTTACAATTTGTAAAGGAGTTTGAGATCATGCTGAGTGGTTTTCTATTAACTGATGAAATGAAGTTAATGTATTTGATGAGGTATTGCACTGGAGATGCTGCAAGAGCTATACAGTGCTGTAAGTTTATGAAGCCAAAAGAGGGCTACGATGAGGCTATGAGCATACTACGTCAAAGGTTTGGAAGACCTTCGATGATTGTAAGGAATGTACTCGAAGCTGTCAAAGGTAACGGCAGTCAACTTCAAGATGACTCCAAGGCACTTACTGAGTTTTTAGATAATCTGATGACTTATAAGAATACCTTGATTTCGATGAATTGCATGAGTGACCTCAACTCGAGTTTTATACTAGAAGTAATAGCAAGACGCCTACCTACTCGACTGCAAAGGAAGTGGGTGAAGATGAGCTCCCGTATGGAGGATGAGGGTATCGAGCCAAAGTTTGATGATATCCTGAAACTGGTAAAAGATAGCGTCAATCAATCTATGAGCAAGTTTGCCAGTATATTGAATCTCACCCCTAGAATAGAGCAGTCTGAGAGCAAAATGCAATCATTGATGACGAGTAGGCCTCAGAGAGGTGGATATCGAGAAGGCTCCATGATGTCTAGTAATGCATATAGACCTAGTGAGTGTAACAGGTTTCATGGTACATCCTCAACAGATAAGTTACGAGATGCAAGACAAACACGGTTGTGTTTTACACGTTTGCAAGAAGTGCATACAAAGGTGAACTGTGAACCAGTGAGCAAGTTCAGTGATAAGCTAAATGTAAACTCCAGGCCTGACTCCGAATTGTGTGACGATAACGGTGCGGTGAAGAAGTCTGTAGTTGCAACTGGTAAGCCATTGTTTGATAAAGTGTCACAGAATAGAGTTGCTGCTTCAGAGTGCAGTTCTGACTCCACAAGTTTACAAGGTACTAAAGTCAGAGTGAAGATATAAAACCTTTAATGATTTGTGAGGAGGAACCAAAATTGTCTACTTCTGTTATTAAAGAGTTTGAAAATGATGAACTTGACGGTAAATTGAATATTTGTGATAATGATCATGATACTTCACAGTTGTCTTTGGTTGATCATGATGAGATGAGGGATATGCCTACTACTGCTAAGTTGAACAAAGGTTCTGTACAACTACAGCGTGAAGTAGAATTGAATGCAGTTGCAGAAGGTATGGATACTTGTCAGACCGTCAGTATGATTGATCAGCATGTAGCCCACCTATCATCAGATGCTAGTGCTAAACCTGAGCTGATAGTGAAAGACAGCAGTGGTGGTAATCTTGCAGTTAGAGAATTTTCTGAAAGCCGAACAACAACAGATTCTGATCCACCACTAAGTTCATCGCCTTGTGTCACTCAGTCATCGTTGGTGTTGTCATCCACAATGAAACAGTCACCCATCAACTCAAGTATCTTGTGCAATGACTATGATAGTATTGGCGCATTTGAAAAGACGAAAGATATTGCTCAGTTTAGTGAGAATAAGCCAAGTGTGTACGAGAGAGTAATTGTTAAATTGACTTGCATGAATAAAG